GAAGGTGTCCTCGATTGTTGATTCTCATGCCGCTTGCCATGCGAGGCCCTGTTGCGAGGTGGGATTCGGGATCGTTCCCTTTCCATAGAGTATAGACACATGGGAAGTTTTGAGTTGCGACGCTCGATACGAGCTTTTGAGATGCGTTGGTCCAGTTGGAACTTGGAAACTGAGGAGCTCCAGCTGGACCGGGGACCGCTGCAGACGCCAGTGACGCCACCCCTTGGTATCCACTGTTAGCGACCACCGGCGATTTTATCCTGGCGATCAGCACCGGGACATGGCTAGCTTAACACCAACTGGCTATTTTGAGAAGGAGCAAGCGGGGGCCACTGGACGTTTTGTTTGCAGCAAAAAAGAAGCAAGCAGGAACGCTGGTCACCGGGCGTTTATTGTTTCCCCCACACATCACACAATCGTTTGACCCTTTCATTCCTGAGAAACAAGGCAATCAGGGCATCCCCGGCCGTTGGCGTAGCGTCTTTTGTGGCTTCTGCCCACCCCGTCCCGCCGACCTTATTCCCATTCTCTCGCCTCACCTGAACTTGAAGCTGTGGACGACCATGTGGACCCGACCAAGCCGACGACATCTTGGCGACTGTTCTGCCCGTTAAACTTCCATCACAGACCTTTCCGAATACCTACCAATCCTTCGTCCGACCTGTCTCTCGTCATCAAGGTTTATGATTTACTGCAACAGAACCAAGGCCACTTCATCGGCACAAACCATCACGCACATTCCGATAGTCCCTGACAGCACAATTCGTATTTTGCATCGTCCCATCAACTGACACCTGCATACTGTCCACTCAGAACCACTTCCACACCACCACCGCTGACCCCGACCTGCATGCCCTGATCGATGGGCTGCCTGTCTTGCATTCTTGGCTCGCCTCAAAGCCCTCACACAACAGATTCGTCCGAAAAGAAGGTGCCGACACGCAACCGAGAAACGAACCAAGGAGACAAAAATAGTTTTGGAGAGATTGTGGCATACGCCCACGCCAAAATGACAACACAATGCTAGTCTCATGGACATCTACCGTCGACACTATCCACAGCCAGGTATGATGGGCAAACAACAATTCAGTCTGCGGATTTCATAATCCTGGTCCTCCGCGCTGCGGCACCATCGCTCTCCACATACCACCGTACCGGGCAACCCCTGGCTCAATCGATCAAAATTGCTGTTCATCGATGTCCCTGGAGCTAGTCTGCTTCGGCAAGAGAGTCCGAGCATCGCCTTATACTTCAAACCAAAGCTACCCTCTTCTCACGACAAAGCGTATTGCGCACAGGCTTCGGTTCGGAGCAAACTTCAGGACGTTGTTGCTGAAGCCGAAAGTCACTGTACCAGCCCGCCTTTGGATCGTCAATGGCTTGGCCGTCCGACCGCCCGATGGCCTGGAGAACTGTTGCCCAGTTATTACCGACTTTGGAATCACGTTTCTGGATTGATGGCCAATATGTAGATTTTCCGCGCAAACACGCAAGCCACTCGTAACAAGAAATCGCTTGTATCGAATCTGGTAGACGCCCGCAGGCTATCCTTTCTAGCGAGCCTGCTACCCTACTTACACAATAACACGACAAGTGCTCAAAGCATCCCAATACCATGGATGTGGTTACGCCTCTTAAACGCCATCAACTAAAGTCGCTACCCAATAAAACCAGTCCACAAAGAACATGCAGATCTACAAAGCACATGGCGTCGATGATCGAGCCATCTACGCTGCATTACGGCTTGTCGTCCGCTCGTTCCGTTGCATTTGCTCCTCCACGGACTCAGGGTCCGGGCTCACGTGCATCCAAACCTCATTGCCCTTCTCCCAGTTGATCAGCCCCGAAGGCATGCCCGATCCATCGCCTTTCCCCAGCAAGACCCGATTCTTGTGCTGAAACCACCTCTTCAACCGCAGAGTCGCTTCGTTGTCCACCTTGAGGCGGACTGCGATCCATTGGTCGTCCGGTCGGTGATCGTGCGTCACCACAGCGAGTGGTTCTGTTGGTGGCTCTGTTGTTTTCAAGATTTCCTCATCAACCCAGGTGTTGTACTTTGTCTGCTCCGGAGGCAGTGTAATCTTCAAAAACTCGAGCGACGGTGATATCGTCAGGTAGATGGCTCTCAGAGGGTTTACCAACGTCTTCATGAACAAGTCTGTCCAAGTCGAGTACAGTACTGCAAAGTCTGTCTGGGAGAGATGAGTTGACCCCCGGATCGTCATCATCCAGGTAAGTGCCTTCTCGCCCCTCGCCTCGTTGCAGACGTCGACGAGTCTGTCAAAGTTTTCTTTCCAGTGCATAAAGGCCTCCGACCCAATCGAAAGAAGCGGCTTCTTGACGCGGTGACTAGGGTTTTCTCCCGCTCGAGGCGTCGCCGGGCCCCAAGCGTCGAGAATGATGCCTTGACCGACCCAGCTAAGCGATTCGGTTCTCAAAGCTTCGACCGTCGTTGCTCCGCCAAACGAGTGTCCCAATATCGTCACGTTGTCGAGGAACATCCTGTCCTGCCAGTCCTCCCAGACGATGCCTGTGAGGCCCTTTGAGCTGGACGCCACGTTGCCCTTCCTTCTCAGGTTCATGGCTTCAACTTCGTGCCCGCGGCCACTGTCGATATACCCAATGATGCGAAAGGCCTCCTCGATTTCCGTCATTCTCATTTCTATCTGCGCAGCGCGTAGTTGCATGTCAACGCCCTGGTCGTTGTTCGGTGCCGTATCCTGCTCGTTGTTCTTGGGGAAAAGATAGTCGACGCAGTAGTGCTGTCCAGATTCTTTTCCATTCTTCTTGTTCTTGATCTTCTTGGCGTTGACCGTCTCCAGGGAAGATTCACTGTCGGATACCTCTCGATGTTCCGGAAGGTTTACATACGTCCTCGCGCCACTGCCATCCCTGTGCTCGACCGCCACAACAATGAAGCCGTAGCTCGCCAATTCTCCACAGATGGAGCTGTAGCTCATTCTCGAACCGCCCAGACCATGGCTGAAGATGATGACTGGAAACTTTGGCTTCTTGCGCGAGCTCGACTCCTCGTTCCTTGCCGTCTGACCCGTCGGGCCTTCATCGCCCAGCATCTCTTCCGGCCAATGCTCCGCCAGCTTCGCGTTCCTCAGCGCGGGAAGTTTGGTGAACATGGAGGTGGCGGCGATGTAGGCCGTGACCGGGAGATGCGGGATGCTGAATTCCTTGGCGTAGCCCTTACAGGTGAGGACCCGCGGACGCGGAAGCCATCCGACCCGTGAGAGCTCCGCCTTCTTGGCGCCGCCGCCTGCCTTGTTCCCATTCTTCTTGCCGTGATGCTGATGGTGATCGGGAGCGGCGTGATCATCTGTCTGGGTCTTAACTGTGCACGGGTAGTAGACGGCGAAGAGGACGGTGTCGAGTCTCAGAAGCGGGACGTTGTCGCGCCTGAGCTCCGAAAAGGTGCGCGGCTGACGGACCGGTGCTTCGATTTCGAGGAATCCCACGCTGTAGGGTCCCGTGTAATAGGGGAGGGAGTGCAGGAAACGCTCTCTTAGCGTCTTTGGCGGGTTCGTGTCGGATCGCCGTTTCCTGTCCTCCGTCGAAGCCTTTTTCTTGGCCTCTGAAGTCATGGTCGTAGAAGCTGCTCTACTCCGGCGAGAATTGTTGACAGGATGCAGCAACCTCAAAGAGTTGAGGATTGAAGGAGGTGCAGGGGGGTATCCTATGCCCGTTGACGGGGAAGTCGAACGAGAGGACGTGGGCTGGTGTGGAATTTGGATGTCATGGCGGTGCGGGTAAGCGTGGAGACAAAGACACACAACTGGGAGGGAAGTCCCGGGGGGCGGTTTGAAATAAAAAGATGCACTTGGGTGGGTGGAATTGAAGCCTTGGGTCAATGCATTCTTTGCAGGAAGAGAGAAAACAAAAGAATAAGACGGGAAGGGAGTAGGGCAGATTGCGCGCCGCGCTTGACGTTTCTGTTCGCTCGGTGGTCAAAGGGGGTTGAGAGATTGAAAACGTGAAACCGAAGAGTCCGGAAGTGACGCCTGACGTCATGGGGGAAAACTGCCATTGACAATCAACCCCGGATTCCACTGCTCAGTCCAGCGACAGGCACTTCTTGCACATCACTTGTGGGCGGACAGGGGGCGGTAATTGTTGACAAGGGTTGAACTCCAGAACTCCAGGTCCCAGGATTTCGAACGGCAGGGAGCTTTCGATTTCCATTAGGAGATGACCGTATTCGCAACGTGGGTTGCTTTGATTCCCGTTCGTAGGGCGACGTGCGGTTTCACTCAGCGAGACATTGTGTTTTTGATCCGTGTGTTGGCACGTTGGGCACACGCAATTTGAGTGTCTCACTCAATGAGAACACAGGAATGCGCAAAAAAAGGGACTCGGCGTGAAAAATTCAAAAAAGTCAATTCCAATTGGCCGTACTCTGTAGGGTTGAGACAAATCGCTGGATGCCTCGGCGCTCGGGTATTGCATTCCATCTCTTTTCTCTCTGCCTCTCCCACATGCTTCTTCCTCGCTCGACGATCCTAGGCCTACGGTGAGGCGCACCGTCCGTCCGGTCATCGTCCGGACGGCTTGGGCTCAATCCTTCGTCGCGACGCGAGCCCGGATGGCATCGTCGGCTTCTTGTTGTTTTCCTTCTCTCCTTCTCTCTCTCTCTCCTTCCTAGCCCTCCTTCTCTGGCGACGTTCACGACTAGGCACGCGACCTCGGCGAAATTTGTCACTGCAGCCGTGGATGAGCGATTCCAAATGGTGCTTTTGGATAAAAGCTCGTGTGCCTGGCGATCGTGGCCGATCCTGATTCGCCTCTGATGGCGGCGCTAGAATGCGCGATATCGGGTAGTCTCTTTCGGCGACGCAACCGGAGAAGGTGGGCCCACGATATGACAGGCTGCGGACTTATCGCCGGATATCGCCGGATGGCCGGAAGTGATCCGCCGTCGCCGCCATGGGAGTGGATCCGATGACGCCAAGACTTGTTCCTCTACGGATGCTTAGATCCGGTCCGACTACGGCTTAATTTTGGTTGGGAAAGCGGTTGTCTAGGAGGTTATCATATTGCCACAGCTCTGGCTGGTAATCCATCGGTAGCCTCCAGTCGGCCATATCCATAAATCCGGGGAAGAGCTGACCGTCGTTGGGCGGTGCTAGTCCTGCCGACAAATCCATGAATGGCGACGGTTGCTGTTGCTGTTGTTGCTGGTCTGCCATGGAAAGGCTCGTCATGGAACCTAGGACATCGGGCGTGCTTCCGTTTATGCTACCGCTGCGGGTCGTTCCTGGTCCGGACACCTGGGGAGAGAAAGCTGCCTGCATCGCACCCGCGGAGCCGGGCATCATTGGCATAGTCAGGCCCGGAAGTGACACTTGCTGAGTGGCGGCCGGGCCAACGGGGAGCATGTGCGGTGGCAGGGTTGGGGTGTTTGCGAGGACCGTGGCCGCAACGTCGGCGATCACCTTGATGACTTGGTACGAGACGACGGTCTGGTGGTACGGGTCGTACTTTTCAAAGAAGGAGATGACGGTCCGGATTAGGTCGAGATCACGACGAGCTCGGGGGTTGTTTTTGTTCTGGAGAATGTTGACGAACAAAATGTCGACGCTCCACGCAATTTGATAGAGGAGGTACCTAGAGATGTCGTGAGCTGCATCATTCGTTACATTGATAGGATGACAAGACTTACGGCGTGTAAGGGTGTTCGATCTGATGGTAGTTCAGCAGGGAGATGGCCGCACGCGATGCGCTTACGCACAGCGCCAGACTGGGGCCTATATCCCCAGACTCTACCCCCTCCTGGTCCTCCAATGTGGGCAGCCTAAAGGCAGCAGAATGGATTGCGACAACAAGTTGGAAATAGGTGAAGTGCAACGTCGTCAGGCACACCAGCCTAGAGTAATCGCCGTCAAGTAGGGCATCGACGTTGTCGGCGCGGATCATTGGCGGGATACTTTGACGCCATTCCGTCAGCTCGTTATCGAGCCGGCGGATCTCGGCCTCGAGCTCTGCCGCAGGAACGCCGCTACGGGAGTATAACGTCGTGGAGATGCGGCCCTGGATTTGGGCGAGGCGGACTTGTTCGAGGAAGAAGTTGAGCGTCACGTCGTTGGGGTAGTAGTACATGCTGTATCCATCGGACGGATGCTCTTCGGGGAGGTCCAGGAGGAAGTCATCGCTAATGAGGGCAGGTTTTCCGATCCGTAGCATGAGGTCGTGGTCAATCACGTACGCGTGCCAGAAGAGGCGGCGGCGGTGAAGGTGCTCTGTAGGAATGAGCTGCTGAGGGCGCGCAAAAGCCATGTCCGGCTCTGGCCGATGGTAACCTGCCATCAAGAGGAGCTGGACTGTGAGGCCCATGAGGGTGAGCGCAATATGGTTTTCGGAGGTGAAGCTGAAGTAAAGGACCTGCGCATGGATTTAGTTTTTGGGATCTCATAGTACCTTATTGGGATGTTAGCAGCGCAGAGAACCCACTGTTGATAGTAACGCCCCAATCGCCAGAGCCGATGGTGTGCGCAAGATAATATTGGGTACCATTCCCAGCGCATTGTGAATGTACTTTTGATACTCTTCTCTATTCCGCATGCCATTCCTCTTGCGCAAGGTATGGGCGATGATGACGTTGACGGCCATGCGCCAACCTGGATCCGCCGGCGGCTGGCCCTGGAAGTAGGACCGTAGAGCTGCTCGTACCTCGTGCTCTTGGAATAGTCGTATGCCAGCGTTCATGGTCACGAAATAATCTACATTGAACCGAATCAGTGACTGTCCCATTGTGATGCTGGGGCCCACTTGAGCCCGAGCGAACTGTCAAAATCGCTCGCATCGACAAACCCAACTCACCATTGACACAGTCCATAATGACATGATTTGGAGGCAGAGGATGGTTGGTGTCGGCATGCTCAAGATACGGCTGTACATAGCCATCTACGACCTTTGGTTGCATAGCTTTCAAGGCATTACTGAACCTCGAATCCCCAATAAGAAGCTCGATTTGACTCAAGCCTTGCGGCGAGAGCAGGGAGCAAGCACCTAGCAAATGAGCATTGTTAGCGACCATGGTCTGAGAGAACCAATAGCATGGAGAAGAAGAATCTATCATTACGTACCTGCTGCGATAACCGTACTTTCGTCAGGGGCACCGGCGTAATACGGCCTTGCCCCGGTCGAGGCCGACGAGGTAGCTGACGGCGGCGACGGGTAGGTGTCAGGGTTTCCAGAAGACGGGCTTGCGCTGCTAGCCTTCCGCCTTGACAGGGGCGATGGGTTGTTTGACGACGTCGTCGCCATGGGCGAGGCATTTGGGGCACTTGCCTTTGCCGCCTCACTGGCAGTCGGGACATATTGCTGTGGAGGTGTCGGCCCCTGGTCTGGTTTTTGCAGCTCCTCCACCAGCCTCTCCATCTGAGCCAGTCTCGAAACTACATCTTCATAGAGTCTGTTGAACGCAGCACCAAAGTAATGTGTCAGCCATCCATAAGCCAGTAAAGAAGATCGGAGATAAGGGTCACATCGGCCCCCCTTCTCCTCAACAGCAGCTAGTGAGGTGAGGTTTGAGGATAAGGGCAGCGAGTGATTCGCCGGGAGGAGATGAGGAGGTTCACTCACGGTCTCTGGCGACGTCCCGATGACCGTCGTCCTTCGGGCCAGGCACATTCCAAGCCATACCGGACACAATTTGAACAGATTGGCGTCTTGTGGTCGCATCTAATCTGCAGTTGCAACGACGAGCCGTCCCGCCGGTTAGCCCAAGATGAACCCCACGCGCTTAGTTGCTCGGTCTCGCTCTCTGTCTCTCGAATGCCTGATGGGGTTGAAATCCTCGCGCCGATAGGCGTGAAGATCAACGGTCTCCAGCATCTTTCCTGAGAGCGAGGGCGAACCAGCCCACCGGGACAAGAGATTGGACCCTTACCTTGCGGCGCCGGCATGGAGTGCAAGCCAACGGACGCGGTCTCGGAAGTGCGTCGGACCCGCGGTTGGCCGCTTGTCCGTCTGGCGGTGACTGATGGTCTTCGGGGCTCTGCTCCATAACTTTGGTGCTTGGCGTCTAAAGAAGACGGACTGATACAAGTGCGGGAGGGTAGGTAGGGGGGGAAAAAATAGAATAATAAAGCTCCGTGTCCCGTATGTAGAGACAACTTTCTTTCTGTCTTCCTTGGATCAACTGGGAGCCGAGAACGATGAACCGGATTGTTGGGACCAATTGACTCGTAGGAGGATGGGAAAAATGCCAGCAAAGCGGTTTTTTTTTCTCTCTCCTGCGAGGATCGCCGAGCGAGGAGAGTGGTGCTCCGGTGCGTGTTTGGGCTTGAGCTCTCTTCTCAGGGGAGGGGGCAGGGAATGGTTAGGTAGGTTTGGGGGCTGGAATGGGTGTGTTCTGTGATTGTGGTAGGTTGAGGCCTTGAGGTGGGTGGTGACCGTGGTGGGTGTGTGAGACCGGATGCATGTGCAAATGTGTCATGGATGTGCCGCAGACCTGCAAAGTGCAGAGGCCCCTTCCCCAAGGACCCAAGGGCCAAGAGTCCCTTCCAATTCTCTTCTCTCTCTCTCCTTGCGTGCTTGCCTGGCGTCAGGTACTCTTTCCCTTTGTCGGCTCAGCGTGCGGCGGTGCCTGCTTTTCCTGCCGCTGTTTTTCCTACGCACTAACGCACGCCTCTTCTCCGCACCGGGGCAAGGAGCCCGCCTCGGTCCACGGGTGGTTCCTGCCGCCTTTGGCCTCTGGCCTCGATCCTCTTCCCTTTGTCTGTTGGTTTCTCTCTCTCTCTCTTTGCTTTTCCACGATGCCGTTGTAAGTCTTGGAGCAGGCGTTGCAATGATTGGATACGGAGATGAAAGTGTGTATGAATGTAATGAGTGTTCTGGTACCGGGCGGCTGGCGCGGAAATAATCGTAGTCCGTCGGAGTGCGCGGGTTCAAGGGGTGCATCCGTGGTTATAATGAGTGATTGACTGCCTCTGGCCGCGACGCATCCTGATGCTTGTCTGGTGTTTTAGGGGCGAAGCTTAATCGCCCAACTCTAATCTCTGGCCCTTCTCTTTTTTGGGTCGTCCTTCCGGGCGGGTGGGGGATGTATTGGGGTGCGTCACCGAAGGTCGGACCGCGATTTACAACGAAATGATGCTCTCACCGGGGGTTTGGGCAGCAGTAATTACAATACGAAGAATACGACCACTACTTCGTCCTCTTCCAAAACTGCAACAACCAATATATAACCTTTCCAGCCCTGCATCCATAGTCATGGTCCTGCGTCTGATCTTTCATCATCCCAGACTCTTCCAAATGACAATGGGCAAAACCTTCACCTTGGAAAATTCAAACGGCTGCGACTTTATCAATCTAGCCATCTCCACCATCAATCTCCTCCACGAGTCATGTTGCATTTCCACTAACCGCCTAGCTTACAAATGGGATGTCACTTTGCGGACGAATACCGTAATCTCACCACTGCATTACGCCGCCAGCACCGCCAACATCGCCTCAACCACCGGCTATGGCCGTGATACTGATCGGCACCGACTACCCCGAGTGAAGCACTGTCACTGTGTGTCTCTGTGAGCCTGCGTTCGGCCGCAGAAATCAGGATTACTCATCTCGCCAACACATTATTGATCAAGATACCTTCACTACATAATTACACCGACGCGCCGTTTTCCTATCTGCGACAACGGCCTGCTGCCTTCATAGAATGAGGTGCAATGTCAGTTGGTTATACAGCGGTGATCCATGCAGCACTGCCCTAGGCATATTACTCTCCGGTAGACTTCGGCTCCGGGAAGACAAACTAATGAAATCTTGAGGTGGAACCCCCGCCAACGTCAAGACGAATCGGCGATCCAAATTTCAAGTTGATGAAGGGATAGCCTGCAAGAATTACTTATGGTAAAAGAAGAATACGACAGTCGGTACGGATAGTCAGCCTGCAAACATGAAAGACTCGCGCACAGATGTCCCCCATGAACTCCATGCCGAGGCCCAAGGACATCAAATCCCAAACGACAGCATAACTGATATTACTCTCCAACATAACGCAGAAAACTCCGACGGGAGTTTCAGCCAGCGTTATGAAGAGTCTCTGGGAAGTGCGATTCTGCGGGGCGGGCCAATTGGGGCCAATTGCTTTACAACTTGATCTAAGAGAGTTTCGACTAGTCGTTCTATTACCTATCCCTTTATGCTTGTCTGTGACACTCTGTTCCACTTATCAGACTCTGAACAAACGCGGACAAGCCGCCCCGGAACAGTCTGCCGACGAGACCATTCTAAGCCAGGCAGCCGTACAGAGCGTACAGAGTAGCCGTTTACGAGGTAAATATCCCGTATGCACCTCGAGTAACACTCCCCTTCCCAGTATCCCGTATCTTTAGATTGATATTTACGACCCGAGTTTCGAAAGTCTCAGGGCACGTGGCAGCCTCATTTGGCGTGATTGGCGTCCGGTCTGAGGCAAGTCAAGGCAATAACCGTACATCGATCTAAGAAGCTGGAGTACTCCGTGTGTGGGCTTGGGCAGAAGCGCCAAAAACTACCAAATACAGTCCTAGTCCCCAATCTCCCTTACCCCACGCACTGTAGTAGCCTTTTCAGGGCTTGGTCTTGAGCTCCTCATAGCAACATCTAATATGTATAGACCCCAAGCAATCTGAGTGCTGATGCCCAGCAGATGGAAGCGTCATACAACCAACCAGTGATATTCCAGGTTCTCTATCATGTAACTAGAGGGTGTGAGCAATATCCTTTGAACTCGAAGAAGTCTTGGAAGCTGCATCGCTCTGTCTAAGCTTTTGGCGTCACTGATGAGTCTAAACTGGTGTCTCACCAAAGAGATTATGGCCAACTCCTAGGTTGTGCAGACGATAGGGCAACATTGCTAGGGCAACTTTTGACTCTTGGCACATCACAAGCTCCAACTTCCCAGTCGCCTCAAGGCAGGAGCCAAGTAGCAACTTCTCCAACTCCATGGATTTTTCCGAGCCTTCAACCCCCATCTTACCCCACAAGCGTCTCGATCTGTTTTTTTGATGCTTAGCGTTCCACGAGGCGACTGTGTGGCAAAGACCGCGGGGTCTGGGTCGTTCAACCCGTCAAAGCTGAGAGTTCTCAGTTCCGGCGGGACGCGGGTCACACGGGCGCTTCACGGCGGCCTATTCATCTTCCGGTCGGAGTCATCGGATAGATCACGAGGAACTCAACCGCATCCAGACCCGTGGCAAAGCTGGAGATTTTGCCACAAACATCAACGAAAGCGTTGGAGGTTGCTCTCTCTGATAGTTCACGATCACCGGACCATCCGGCTCTCGAAAACAGCGTGATCCAGACTTGTGTGCCACCGACAATCATCCAGCGAGGAAGCTCCGGATCAGTGATCCGGTGTTCGGGAGGTAATTTTGACGATCAAGCTTTCGGCAGGTTCGGCGAAGGTGGCGGGATCCGCCGGTATTGAAGAGATAGAGAAACTCACAGAATGTGCATAGATCGGATTGTAATGCAGTTTGATGAACTTGCCACAATGTTAGTACCAAAGGACAGGTCGGGATTTGAGATGACTTGGCAGGCCCGACTGTAAAAGCTGACAGCTCTTCCAGACATCCATGATCCATCTGACCCATCATCCAGGCAGCAGAGTAATGATCCAGATTTTGCCCCGCGGATCCCACAAATTAGACTCTATGCTGTTGATGGCTCGAGTCTAGATTCTCTGTCAATCACGGTGCCGATAGGTTCCATGGGATCAAGTTCAGGAAGCAAGAAGCTTTGGGGTGGTAGGTCATGTAAGCTCCGCCAAGATCCAGTGCCTTCAGCAAGAGATAAGGCATAAAATAAAGTATGGACATCGACCAAAAGAGACTCAGGTCGTTTCTGAAAAGAAACAAAGTAGCCAGGCGAGACACGATTGCACCCAAGACACATCGTATGACGTGTCTTGCCCAGCAGCTTGCCGCCGGTCGTACGCATGCAGGGCGCAACTTTCTTTGACAGCGGATGGGTATGAACACATAAAAACAACGCAGAGTCTCTCGGGGAGGTACAACAATGAGCTGGTCTTTCCATCATCCTCTCATGTATGATACCGGGCCTAAGTTAACCATGGGCTGATGTTGAAACAATTTCTCAGTACCTAGGGAAGGAACATTCTCCGATTCGGAGAAGGTCCACTCCTGCTTGGAAATATAATAATAACCAAGGTAAGAAGTAGATCCTCTTCATCAGTGGATAGAGTTTCTCAATGATGAAGGACATTAATAATGCTCCGAAGATCTGCAAATCTTCTCGCTGACCTACCGACTACCCCCATGTTGCATGTATGGTAATTAGAGCTGGGAAAGTATTTAAGAGCCTGAGGTCCTCGGTCAACTTCAATATCTAGCGCTAGAGCGTGAATTGGTTTCTTGACCACAGCAGAGGAGTTGTCGAAACATTTTTTTCTAAGTCCCCATTCGTCACGTTATAGTGTTGTCTCACCGGTAGCAAAGTTCTTGCATAGGCTATCGGACGTAGCCTATCAAATCGACTCTCCTCGTCACTTCACCTGACCGAACATGTGAGACAGAGTCTAGACTGACGCCTCGATACCCAATCATGCACCTCAATGGCTGAGAGACGGTCTGCATAGACTGAAATAAGCGGCTTAACAACAGTACCAACAGAATGGCAACTTTGGTCGGGATCACGTTGCATTACTTGACACCCCAATGTGAACAGCTACATGTCTCAGCTCTCACAAGAGTAGTGTATACTCTGGCCAAGGTAGGCTCACTGAATAGGTGTGAGACCGGTAGTTTGATCAAGTAAAACCCTCTCACGTGGAATTCAATAGGCTATTGTCCTGTTGCACAGCGTTACTGTATTGCCTCAAGGTATAGGAAGATATCAGTCCCACCATCGACTAGGGCTTACTATTACCTATGTATGTTCGATTGATACAACCAGAATGGGAAGCGGGGAAGACCTCGTGAGACTTGGCTTACACCGCTTTGAAGTTGGCTGGAATGTTGCACATTAGGCGTAAGGTTGCGGGAATGAAGCTCATGGGCAAAGCCGTGAAACTTTGGACAGTGGAACTTTTACGCGAGATCAGAAGACAGGCTTTGGTACCTCGCGAGAAGATGCTGTTTTTACAAGAGATTGATGAGTAGCCTGGCTGGATTCAACATACTGGGTCTAGTATATGAAGAAGACCAAGACCTCTGTTCAATTGGTCTTGAAACAAGCTCAACAGTCACTCCAAAACCATCAAAGTCAAAATCTATCAAGATGCTCTTCAGCAATGTCGTAGTTCTCCTGGCCGCGAATCTTGCCACAGGCACTGCTGTCGCCGTAGGCACCTCATCAGATGTGACCAACCTCGACGCCACAGACCTCCAGCGCCGCGCCGCTTGTGCCCCGGCCGGGGTCGTCAACGGCCAGTGCGGCCGGTACTACCGCGGGACCAGCTGCAGCGACCAGATCGGAGCGATCGGACCTGGCGTACATCTTGACCTCTTTGACCCCGCGTCCCCTCTCTGGACATTGTTCCAACAAAAAAGCTATCTCAGTGGAAGATAGATGCTAACACCCAGCAGAGATGCAGCGGACAATGCTACTACTCCTCCGACGCCATCGCCAGCCTCAGAGCCGTCGGCGACGGGACCTACGGGACCAACTGTCACCTGTACTACGACAACAATTGCCAAAACCAAATTGGCGAGACTGGAAACGCTATAGTTGGCGGCGGGAAGTGCTATACACCTCCGAGCGGGAGGACTGGGCATAGCTTCTTGTGCTGGTACAGGTGCTAGTCGCAGCGTAAGGTGGACTGAGACATGGCAAGAATCATTGAATCAACATGCTGATGATGGTGACTTGTTTGGAGATTGGACTTGGTATTTCTCGTCTACAAAAAGAAAAGAGTAGGATCAACAAGAAAATGTTTCTGATGCTGTGCCCAAATGGGAATGTGAGGAAGCCTCCCTCATCCTTCGGGTATATCAAGACGACCAGTTGTTGAAATAAGAGAAGGAAATTTCGAAAGAGTGACCAGCAAGTAACGATTCATTCAACTCGAGATTCCACTCCAAGGTCAAATGCTTATAGCCAAGGCTTGGAATCTGTCAGAAAGCTCTCTGAGATTGCCTCTTCTCACTCTCGAAGGATTGCTGACCACATGCACCTCGCTGCTACCTTCTAGAAAGAGATCAAGATCACCCAAGCCGGGCGAGGCGGGGCAACCAAAATCAAAGTGCAGATAAGGGCATCAAGATGATATATCTACGCTCCAAATGCTCAACTTCAAGTCGTTTGCAGCTCTAGTAGCAACATGCTAAATCTCAAAATGAAGCTCGCCGTCTTGTCCCTCCTCGCTTCGGTCGCGAGCGTCCGCCCAGCAGCCAGCAACACCAACACCTCACACCCCTCCAATCCCCTCACCGTGAAAACTTTGTCCGGCACGTTCACAGGCCTCATCGACCCAGCCGCACCAAACACCCTCCAATGGCGCTCCATCCCGTTCGCCGAACCCCCGGTCGCCTCCCGCCGCTGGCTGCCTCCCGCAAAACTCCAGCCCAACAACATCACCAAACCCCAATACACCACCAAATTCCCGCCCTCATGCCCTCAATTCGTATCCGCCGTAGAATCAATGTGGAACCTGCCCCTGACGGAGGGTAACCTCATCTACAATGGCGCCCAAAACGACACCTCGGGCCTGGTGGGCGAGGCAACCTCCGAAGACTGCCTCTACCTCGCAATCTGGGCACCCACGACCCCGCCGCCCACAAAGGAAGGCTTTCCCGTGCTCTTCTTCATGACGGGCGGCGGGTTCGTCATGGGAGGGATAGATCTGCCCTGGCAAATACCGACATCGTGGGTTGAGCGCTCGCAGTCGGCCATTATTGTGACGATAAACTATCGCGTCAACATCTTTGGCTTCCCCAACGCGCGCGGGTTAGACGCGGAGGGCATATCGCAGAATTTGGGTATCTTAGACCAGCGTGCCGCTCTGGAATGGGTACAGGAAAACATTGCTGCCTTTGGCGGCGACCCGGGGCGCATCATGCACTGGGGCCGGTCGGCGGGGTCTGTTAGTGCGGATATCCACGCCTACGCGTACTATGACGACCCGATCGCACAGTCGTATTACATGGAGTCCGGCGTCGTGCAGTCCGGTATCGAGGCGGACCCGACGTACTCCAACTTCACCTTTGTCGCGCAGAACGTAGGCTGCGGATCTCCCTGTGGCGTCGACTGCGAGGACGAAGACGGCACGGCGGAGCTGGACTGCATGCGCCGGGTATCTCCTACGCAAATCAGCAACTTTATTGGACAATACACCGACCGGGGCGAGACACCCGCCATATTCTTCTCCTTGGTCCAGGATGAACGCATCATCTTCCAAGACTACGAGGCCCGCGCAGCAGAAGGCAAACTCGCCCGCCGTCCGATCCTCATATCTCTTACAGCCAACGAATTCTCCTCTCTGGTCCCCTGGCCAAAAGATAACCTGACAGAAGGACCTTGGCAGCCGCTGGTTACAGAAGCAGACGTCGTGTGGGTGTGCGCGGCGTACAATGCTACCGTTGCGCGTAACCAACTCAGCATGTCTGAAGCCCCCGTGTTCCGATTCCAGTATGCAGCTGAGTTCCCCAATCTGAATGTCTATGACTGGCTTGGTGCGTACCACAACAGCGAGACGCCGTTGGTGTTTGGGACGTATGAGCTATTGGATCATATTGCACCGACGACGGAGTTCCAAGTCGAGGTGAGCCGGGCGATGCAGGATCGCATCATGGCATTTGCTGAGGATCCATATCATGGCCCGCAGAAGAAGTTCGGATGGGAGCCGCGGGTTGTGAGTGAGGCGAATGGGGGTTATGTCCTTCGGTTTGGAGCAGGTGGGAAAGTGGTGGAGCGGATTGATGGCGTTGAGATGGATGGTGTATGTACAGGATTGGGTGAGTATGATCCTTTCCCGTAGATACTTGTGATAATAAAGAGCTGGCACCATGCTGTCGGTATCAGTGGCTTCGCGAAGTACCTCACAGAGAATACTCACAAGTTAGGCTTAACTGCTCATCAAGGCTTATGGAAGGTTTCGATCCGTAGTTGCCCTGGCCAGGTTGGTATGCGGTATCATGCTATCGTTCGAAAGCTTCGATATGATTAGCAATGTCGACTGCGTAAATAATGATCTAGATCCGATGACAGAGTCCTAAAGATATACTGCAGTGTTCATGATTGACTTTATTATGACTATGTCTGACTAGATAAGAGTAGGTGTAGGGTATCAAATATCGTGAAATCAACTTTTGGAGCTTAATAAAGCCCGGAAGCGCCGCATGCAATAGACATTACTTTGCGACCTGGCGTCTAGTACCAACATAACTGTTGCGCCTGCTGGCAGAAGGAGTACCTCTGGGAGTGCCGCGGGGGGTGACACGGTTCTCGCCAAAGAAGCGCGAATTCTGGCTGTACGAACGCCCATATGCGGGACGATCCGGACGCTCGGCGTCAGAAGCGCCAGAGGCAACACTCGCACGCCTGTCTGCACCTCCTTGGACATGACTGATGCGACGACCGCCCGCGTCGTCTCTGGCTCCGGCCAGCTTCTGAGCAAATGGCGAGCGGGCGCGAAGGGCCGGGCCCTTCCAGTAGATTACATAGACGGCGACGACGAGGATAAAGGAGATGCAGAAGAGAATCGTGCAAGCGTACTCAAGGTTCTTTCCGGTACCCGCGCCAATGTTGGTGAAGAAAGGTGTGGCAGGGACGGTAAGGACACCCGCGAGGAAGTCACGAGCCCAGCCGTTGCCGCCAGTTGCCGAGGCGGAGTAGGGTCCGTAGGCGCAAATCATGTAGTCGATGGTGGCCATGTAAATGGCGTAGTTGGCGATACCGACGATGGCCGCGAAAACCATGGAGCCGATCCAGTGAATGGGAGGTCCTTGGATGGTCCATGCGAAGCCAATCAAGCCAATGGGCAAGCAAGGTGCGGTGTACAATAGGAACCAAAGACGAGACTCGTACTGGGCTCTATCATCGTTGGGCTTGGCCGCACGCTCCTTGATGTTGCGCTTGATGGCGGGGATGAAGAGAAGCCAGGCGAGAACGTAACCAATACCGATAGGAATGAAAGCCAATCCAACCTGAACGGTGCTGAATCCCCACTGACCGTAGACAAGGACGAACGACTGGATGAACATGAAGATGAGGGCGTCAGAAAAACCGGAGAGAAGTGACAGCACCAGCACGATCGGCTCGGTGAGGAACATCTTGAAGGGACGGATCCAGGTAGAAATGACTTCCTTAGCCGAGAATCGGTCCTTGAAGGGGACGAGCTCGTCAGGACCCCAGATGTTAGGGTTGCCCTCCTTTCTGCGTCTCTTGGCGATGCGGTTCATCATGATAGTGGTGCGTGTCTCGGGGACGGTGAAGGCATGGAGGGCCTGAACGGCAACTCCGAAAATGAGCTGGACCCAAATGGACCATCTAGTAAAATATGTTAGTTGGTGTCAATGAGGGGATGGTTAGTCTCGTGTTGCATACCTCCAGTGTAGGTATTCCTCAGTGAAGCCGCCCACGATAGGGCCCAGAACAGATCCTCCGACCGAGGAAAAGACGACATATGCGACAGCATACTGCTGCTTGTCGGATTCGAATAGATCGGCAATCATACCGAGCGTGACAGAGCCACCAGCAGACGACAATCCACCCAAGGCGCGACCGACCATGATGGTGGCAAAGTTGGGTGCCAGTGCTACGGGGATCTGCCAAATGTTGACGAGGAGGAGTGAGAGCTGGAGAACCGGCCAGCGGCCAAATTCCTCAGACCACGGAGCCCAAAGCTCGCAGCCGAAGGCGTACAGGACAAGGAAGATCATGGCACCGCAGCGGCCGGCCTGGGCGCTCACGTTGAACTCCTCCGAGATGCCGCCAATGGCATTGGAGTAGAGGGAGGTGTTAAAGTTCATCGAGACCTGGACCCAGAAGATGACGGTGAGGATGTACCACTTCTTCCACTTGGGGAAGCAGAAGCCCAGCTCTTCGTAGCAGTCGTCCTCGGTGATTTCGTACTTGTCGTGGGTGCCCAGCTTCTCAAGCTTGGCCCCTTTACCGTTGCCATTCAGGGCGCCATTGCCGTTCAGGTGCTCTGAATGGTCGATAGTTGGGTCATGCTCTTTTGAAGCTGCTGTATCGCTGGCGCTGGTGTCGCCATTGGCGTTGCGCTCGTCACGGGACTCGAGCTTCTCGTTGGCGACTTCGAGGTCGGCTTGATTAATGACCTGAGGCGGTTCCTCAGCAAATCGTGTGCCAGCCATGTTGAACTGTTGTCATGCAGGTATACAGTGGAGGATGATCGAGAGAGGGTTGGAGTGCGGCTACCTCCTGTTTAAAAGGAGACCAGCCGAGGATGGAGGAGGATAAGAGATAGGATTAGGCGTATGGACAACCTCTAGAGACCAAAACTCTGAATGATTTAGGAGAACCAAGGGATCGGCCAACTTTGACTGCCGGGAGAGATTCGAGATATATCAATAGGGCGGTCAACTTCGGACGGAAGCCGAGGGACGCAGACCCTGCCGCCATGACCCAACGCGCCTGTTGCTGTAGACGTCGAGCCATCCACAGTCCGCTCCCCAGACGTGCAGTCGCCCACCCGTGACATCACCGTCCATTGTTGGTGGCGCGAAACAGGCAACCTCTAGCGCAGCACGTCCCACTTAAACAAGACGCAGCAGCGTTGGAGGGGCGTGTGTGTGGGATACGGGCGCGGGCGAGGTGAAAGAAGGGCAGAAAGGTACCGTAGCAGGGCAATGTGGTAAGCAAACTGAGCACCAAGGTAGCGTCGTCGTCGTCGCCCGACCGTTCGACGGGAGCTGCAGTCGTGGACGGTCACAGGACAATTCTGATGAAAAATCGGGGACGGGTGCGGATCGTCGACATTGTGGATTCGCCGGAGGGAGTCCGGAGGAGGATCGAAAAGCAATAGCCTTCGCGAGCAGCCAACGAGGGACAAGCGTAGCGTGCCAGTCTAGCCAACCTGTGGAGTAAATTGAGTTTGACGCTGCCCTTGGAAACGTTTTCTTCTATGTAGTGAGAAGTTTGATGGTTGAATCCGTCGACACCGTTTCTGTGCTGTCAAATTCCAGTCACGTTGCCCATCCGGACACAGGAGTTGGTGATGTGTGGACGTTCGCGCTTCGGCTCCTGCCAGAGAGGCGCCAGATGTGAGAGGTACGTAGTTGAGGCTGGTGCCAAGTTGCGGCAGAGCGGCAGGAGACTTGGCGAAGGGCGGCTTCCAAAGCTTGTTTCCCGTGGAAAATTCCTACCACCTTGGAGTACCTTCCTGCTGTATGTACCCTGTTCCTTCACGGCTCTGGTGGCGTCGCAGTTCACGAGTGGCAGGCGACCCTCAGCTATACCTGGCAAAGTCAAGGAACCTCATGATTGGCACTCGAAAAGAAAGAAAGATCCGCCAGGATTCTAGTTATGACGATCCATAGTCGTAAACTTTTGCCTTCTCCCCGAGTTCTTATTCCCATCTTCCGCTAAAACGTCAACCTTACCATGCTTAGCTGCTCTGGGAAGTCTCCAATTCTCTGTTCTTGTCTCCCCAATGACACCAGCAAGCAGTCACCTTTTCGGGCTGCCAAACTGGGCAAAGCGGGATGCATAGCACCAACGGACACACAGTATGACGTCGTTGGACCGGTGGGCCCGAACTCGCCCTCGGAGGCCGTTTCCAGCCGCCGTTCTATGTCTCGAATCTCCAGTCTTTTCTCTCCAGCTTCTCTCCAGCCTTTGTTTGCTTCTCTCTCCACGGGACGCTCGCACATGCCCATCCCATCTCCAGTCATTCAGTCACTCCCCGCTACACCATCTGTTTGATGCGCGACTACCATGTTAAGGTAGCAGTGCAGCTACAATGGCATGAGGGAAGATAAGTGTAAAACAGAGTTTTTGGGATGAGCGATGCCAGCTTAACCCTTGCTTTGTTCGTATTTCAACGACATCATATGCACAGCCAACCTTTACTCAGCCAGCGAAGGTAAGGGAATCGAAAAAAAATACTAGATGATCAGCCACTCCCGCAGCCTCAACCGGCGCCTGGACGCTGCCAAGATCCGGATGCCTCTTGACGGCCCGAATGTCGATGAAACGCATTCAACCGAAGCATTCCGAGCCCTTCATCAACCAACCATTCAATCAACCCCTTCATTTTCTCTCTTTTCACCAAGGTTGTTGCAGCCGCCATTCAGGTTCATTGTATGTGGATGCCTCGTACGACATCGCCTCACGACTCACGTACGCCTGTAGTCAACGTTACCTTTCCCCTCCTCAACCTCCCCAGTATCATGGTCGTTTAGTATTTCAGATCCAAATAATCTTGCAAGATTAGCCAATGAAGCATTCGATCTCGTTCAGAACGCCCTGAATCCTCCGATTGAGCCCGAGAATTTGGATGAGGGATTATGTAACACATTTTTTCAGTCTTCCCATCCTCCACCTTTTCCTCCATTTCATCCACCATGAGACATATCTGGGTCTGGAGACTCCACGAGTCCACGTGAATGTAAAATACGATTCTCCTTTCCTAATTCGTCGCCACGGCCAATCGTACGGGCATATCCACTGATTCTCCAGCCGCCGAATGCAAAGAACCTGAACAGGTAATCCGTCGCAAAGGAGGAAAAACAATTTCGCACGACCCCCAAAATCAATCGCAAGTGTGCAGTTGCGGTGAGTCTTTTAGTCTTTCAGGCAGAAATTCGAGAGAAGAATCATCTTAAATCCTTGCCCGCCTCCTTTGGCCTGTCAGCCCTTCGGACTTACGGTCCGAGTCGGCTTACTTTCAACATATTGGTCGCAAGGGGACCCCCACGACGGTCGGCCCCGTTTCGCCAAGCGGACGATTCTCAATGTTCCCGAGCTTGACCTCCTTGGCCGACGGACGATCACCGATGCCAATGCGATCCCTCCGGCATTGGCGACAGGGGTTGCGAACGATTCCATGTTGGATTCAACCTCCAGTTCGATTCATTTATTTGTCATCTACCACTACCAAGGCCCGTCCTACCAAATGAACTGAGGGAAATCCCCCTAAATCTTAGAAACAAACGCAAATGACAAGACGCCTCCCATGACGCTCTCCCGCAGTCCGCCCAAGAAGCCCACAAGGGCCGGTCAAACACCCTCCGCCTCCCGTATGAACGTCCAATGCTCCTTGGCACTCAAAATTGGATCCAAATAAATCCTCTCCCTCGCCGCAGCACCATCAAAGACATCACGCGCAAATGCTGCCAAATCCTCACCCGACCAGAACATCGTTCGACGTCGACGCAGCCCCCAGACACGCAGCATCTCCATGTGAAGCAACCTCATCCCGCCAATCATCCACTCCGCCTCCTGGACCGTCATCTCGTTCACGGTATCACGGCCCGGCCTGATCCGGACGTAGGCTATGCGGGCGACAGGACTACAGACGATCTGGAATTCACTGATCCACGACCGCTCCAGTTCCGGGTCTGGGCTGATGGGCGCCGGGAGGAAGTTGAAGAACTGAAACGTGAGAAAGAGTACGGTAACACCCCATGGCACGGTCTCGTGCTGCTGCTCAAAGTGGCGTAGGGATGGGTTATTCGCCCACATGATGTTGGCTCGCGCAGCGACGGCTTGTCTTGTAATGGGACCGACACTGCGCAGTTTGCGGTAGTGGTACAAAGTGAGTTGCTGGTAGAGGTCCCGGTGGAACAGACCCAACTCATATCGGACGTTGAATGGTTCGCCGGTGATTGCGCTCCCCTTGTCGAATTCCTCACGGAGGTATGCGAGCATCGCATCGTCTTGTGGTGAGGGCAGATCGGCATCGTGCGGTGGATGTGTTAGCCACTTGCCTTGCTCGAAGTGATGACCAGTGCCGGGGATAGGCACCGGGTTAGCCGGTGCGCTTTCAGAGCTCAGGTCGATTTGAAACCCACCTTCATCTTGAACTTCTACACCTAACATGTTAGTGATGCCTGGTCTGAAGGTCAATGAGTTGAGAGGTTACCGTGGCATACCGAAACGCGGCTTGATGGCCTCCATGACACGCCAGGGGTAGTACACCCAGTGTGAAGGATCAATATTCTGTTCTTCGTCGCCTTTTCCGATTGACTGTTGCCTGATCATCACACATGCTAGAAAGAGCTGAATCAAAGTCTCGTCATTAGAGAGGAGAGAGTAGTCGAAGATGAGGAAGGAAAACTCGTCGCCCCAGTTGAGCGAGGACTCTTGGTCGGACATGTCAGACAGGGCGTCGTCTGCGATATGTGAGAGGATTCTCCAGATATTGGGCTGGTCGTTCGTTATCAGATAAATGGCTATGCATTTTAACACCTGATGAAGCGCAAAGCAGAATGGAACCTCGTGCACCAGTGTTGTCAGATTCATGGCAGTGATTCGGGTGGTATGCCGGTTGATGTCAGGAGTGCCTCGGTCTTGATGCTTCCTGACACGGGATATATCTATATATTGCAACTGTTAAGCTACGGGAAGTCTTCTTCTTGCAAACCTTCTGTGAGCTTCTATTCTCGTGGGACGATTCTTTTGCTTTCGATTATCGAGGTCGGGTTGGAGACGGCTTTGTCTTTCATACTTGAAACCTTCCGCTCCCACTCTTTCGCCTTGAAGAAAGGGAGAAAGGAGTAGCTTTTTGTGCTGAGAGACACGCTTCTGGTTGAAAATAAAACGCGGCTCCGTTATGTTGTTTTGTTTACGTGGTGACCTGTTTGCGAGCCTGTGACGGGCCTTCCCCTTCGACGGAAGTGCGAGGGGACGGATGAAAAAACGAGCAACAGTCGTCGGTAAAACACCGTAGCAAAGGTCTCGAGTGAAAAAGCACATCAAAGGATGCAAACCACCCAAAAGCAAAAGAGTTAAACCCCCCCCCAGGGCCGATTTTGGGGCTACATCTCTGGTGCTCATGCTGGGACTCGAACTCGGGTACTCGCTAAGCCTGTCGTCGAGTAGGCTGGTTGGCGTGATTGTTGACCATTAACCACTCCACCACCCACGCCACAGTTTGACCTGACCCCCGACCTAGAGGGCGCCTGCTGTGCTGGTGACAGGATTGGACTTGGAGGGGTATATGAGGCCTTCTCGTGGCATGTGTGGAAGGTACGCCTGAGCCTACCGCCCTTTGGGGACGGGTCACGGAAGGGAAAGATATGGAATTCAAGAAACATCGCACAGTAACGGAAGGTACAGCCTGGTAGGTAGTACGCCTCGCTCGTTGACCACACCTGCCTTCGTTAACGACAACGTGCCAAATGTGCTGGGAGGCCTTCCACTGGGCTGCTCGTGGATCTGGAAGGTATGCCTTTCCAGCCGGGCTCTCACTTCGCTTTGAAAACAGCTGTTACAAAGGAAAGGCCAACACTCCCGAGACAACACTTCACGCTGGCAAGATAGTCATGAAGTCCTGCTTGGCTTCCTATGAGGAAAAGTTCTCCTATTCTACTACGTTGTAGTGCTACCGTGCTCGTCAAAAATGTGTAGCATTCAACCCTAAGAAATGCAGCAATCGTCTCGCCCAAGATCCCCAAAACCTGATTTGCAATCGCATCTCGGGGCTCATCTCATTCGACAACCTCTGCCTTCTTCTCTGCCCCAAGCAGTTCGCTAAGCTTGTGAAGCTCTCTGCTGGCTTTCTCCGCTTATAATTCTGATAATCTCCCACAGCTCCTTCGTAATGCGTAACCTATCACTAGCGCTGGCCTGCTTCGACAAATGGCGATAGGTAGAGGTTTTTTTTGGAGGAATTCATCGATACCCGAGACTCTGTCTTAGCTCATCATACTTTAAACCCATCAGAGCATAGTAGTGTAGTGAAAGTATGCTTCGATGAGCAAGTCTTGATTTCCCAGCTGGTGTTTATAAGAATGAAGACGAATGACGTCGAAATCGAAATCGACCTCATGTACGATGACAAAGTCATGTTCGAGAAGATAAGACAAACCTAGTTTGATCGTTGGAACTGTCTTAAAGGGAAGCGACACCGCCCAATTAAGCTGATGACCCTGAAAGTCTTCGAATTGCAGGAGATAGGGGTTGCTGACTCACGCCTCTGTCATGGTAGGGTTACAGGGAATATTTCTGAATGCGCGTTCTTCCAAGTGATGGAGAACCCAGAAGATACCGTCATAGTCGTCAGAGAGGCCGCCGCGCTCGTCTCTGTATCTGAGTCGTACGTTGTCGTCCACCTCTTGGTTGTGAATGTCGAGGAGCTCCATCCAGTCCACCAAGGGATTGTCATTTTCGGGAGGAGGCTCGAGCAGCCAACTGAAATTACTCATATCACACTCTTCAAGGCGTAGACCTGAATATCCAACTGGTCAAAAAGTGAAATACTGAAAAAATGGTAGACCTTGCGTTCCAAGGTAAAACGGTGTACTTACCTGTGTGATACAGGGTGGATCTCATCAGATGCCACAGCAGGTGATTCCATGAACGAGGACGAGACAGGGTATCGCGAGGCAGACACTGTCCCTTCAAGAATTCAATGATGAACTCATCGTACTTGCGCTCGCCATCTTCGCCTATGAGGAAAGAAGGCGGATTCTCTTCATGCAGATCCCAGTAGAAGAACCAGAAGGCATCCTTCCAATTGATTGTGATGGGTTCCATGATGGCCGTCTGGTGTGGATGGGGTTTGCTGTGATGGAGGGAAGAAAAGTCACCGCCGGGTAAGGGGGCTAAATAGACTGCGGTGTGAAGATGCTGCCTGTCTCTTGAGCCCTGCCTACACATGAGAAGGAAGGTATGGAGCAGTTGGCATGCACAAGTTAAGAAAGTGAAGGGTGGATGGAACAAAAGAAGGTGGACCGAGCAAGCCACTGTCTGGTATCAGGCACCTCAGGCAGGCGCACTTCATTCTGAAAGTCCATTGTAGTTTCCCCCTGAATCGCCAATTTCCATGCTGATGCCTTCCGAGTCACCGAACCAGTCACTTTGCTGTATTATCACTGGACTTGGAACACATTGCCTCAATCGTCGTTTGAAATCCCTTCTGAAAATGATACAGTGATAGCTGCCTGGGTGCATCTGTGGTATGGCAAACGCTATCAACCCGAACTAGCGAAGTACTCGTCCACAAGGTAGAGCGAGCCGTTGTATTGAGTCAAGGCTACGCTAACCTCCGCCAGAAGCCAGCTCAAGAAGATACTTGATGTTGGGTGTATCAAAATTCATCATGTCTTCGTCGACTCCTGGTATTTGTTGTGCATCAAGTCCCAAATCCAATATCTGTTCACTTCCTAATTCGAGTCCTGGGAACGTCGGGGAGTCTGAAGACGCCGGTATTTTCGGACTTGGGATAGAAAGATTTGATTCGCGGCACATCTCCCCGTAGTCAATCATCGACCAGAGGGCCCTTTCCCACTCTGGATCCATGCCTGATTTCAGCTGCGAGTCAAGAAGTGAGTTGAAAAGATAGGCGTTCGCATTGAAAGATAGCAGCCGGCGGTGCTGTGCCACTGTTAGCTCATATGCGTCAACACAGTGAGCAGTTGGGAACTTGCAATTTTGAACGCATGATCCCAAAACTTTGCCATTCCTTCAAGTATGGATATGCTGTCTTGGGTAGCACTCGACAGTTCCGAGTGACGCTGGCTGTCGGTATCCTTCTCGGCGTGCATGTGAAGCGAGAGAATGCTGCCAGCTAGGCACGCCGAATATGCGTAGAACGACGCACCCAGGTGGCACCCTACTTCTTCGGCGTCGTGCAGCAACTTGACCAGATCTCGAGAATGTTCGTAGCTTTTCTGTGAGGCGAGGCGCATGAAGCTTGATGGAACTTGACATTTGACCTTTCGTACTTGCTCGCGCACAAGGAACGGGTGGTAGAGAAGGCAGTAGCAAACATGGAATACTGTACGTGCAAATATGACATGACCCATGGCGGGGTGGTCTATGATACCGTCATCAAGCCTATAAGTATCGACATCACTCTTGATGGGATGCTGATCGACTTGGAGACGCGACTCGACGAGGAGAAGGAGTGATGTGATTGATGCAAACTCTGACTTGGAGTCCCAAGGGGGAGTCTCATCGGTATTGCGGTCGTGAAGAAGCCTTCGAGTGCAGCGAGCAAGTGCGGATGATGCCAAGATGGCGACTGGGAATCCACTTTCAACACCGACCTCAGTGCTCCAATCGAGAAGCTTACGGAGCGTAACGTTCTGGCCCCACCCGCCAGAACGAAACGTCAGCTCATCGCAAGGTAGTCGTACGTGGCAGTCCTCGTCTGAGATGGCGAAGTGTCTGTGTTGGCCGAGGGAAACTAGCTTATCGAGAAGGTAGATCGACCAGAAAGATCGCCTTCTCTCTTCTTGCTCGACCAGAGGAAGAGTTTCACCAGGCTCCTTCATCAGTTGGAGGTCCTGAGCTATCCGAATCGCCATCCCAATCTTGAGCCACGCGGAGCTGGTTCGGCCGGCTGGACAAAGGTTTTAGCACCAAACAAGACCTGTGAGTTGAGACACTTACCAGTAAAGTCAATGACAGCCAGAATGTTGGTGGCTTGGGCAACCTCGAGGTTGCAGGAATCCTCCGCCGTCATGTGGTCGCCCAAAACAGACAACCAGGCCTCTCTTGCATATGAATGAATGGCATCTGATCTGTTGTCTCGATAGTATTCGTGTTCTGAGAACCTCAAAGAAGATGCTAAAACTGCCAGTAACACGCATTTGGAAAGCTGGCCGTCTGCGAGTTTCTGCCGGAAGCTTCCTTCATGAAAGTAAGAGTATGGTTGGTTGTGGCACCACTGAAAGAAAGTGTCGACCAGCGACTGTGTTACGGAGTCTGGTGGAAATGTATTGAAGGTTCTTCAATGCGACGTAAGTCATTTGTAGTCTGTATTCTGTAGAAGTCCAGGGCATCACTTACTGGGACTGTGAGCTGCCCGAGCGCCAAGTTGTTGGGACATTAGGCGATGACAGGTTGATCACATCAGGCATGCCGCCAACATTTTCGTGTTCATCCAAGTGGAATTGAGGCTGATCTTCAACAGGATTGTGGTCTTCCATAGTCAGATTGACCTCATCAAAGGCGGCAGAACTAAGCTGTATTAGCACAACAGTTCTGAGTTTTACCTTTGATCACCCAGATGAAAACATACCTGAATTCTTGAGTTTCGCGATCGCTCAGCTGTGCCAATTTGCTTTCAATCATAGAAATTCTCTGTAAAAGATCCGTCTAGACAGCACCGTATCGTTAGTCTACTAGTCTCTTGAGGCCAGGTAATTGTCATATCACTAACGTCCTTGGTCAATCCGAGAAGTAATGCAGTCGAGTTCCCAGAAAGAGACGTCGAGACTGCCGAGTAGGGCTCATATTGGCATCGCTGCATCACCCGTCGACAGTTGATACACCTTGGCCGATCCCCGGAACATTTGATCTTCTTCTGTCTAAGAATGACCATCGTATTAGCCTCTTACTTTCTGCGCGTCGTGACCTCCGCTGGGATTTCCACCAAAGAAGGGATGAAGGGCTGGGATCTCTACCGGCAACTTGTACAGGCCTGGCGGATGCGTTTGATGCCTGCGGTGGTTGGTGGTGACCTCGACTCTGGCCTCGACTCTGGCCTCGCTGTGAGCGGTTCCGTGGGTTCCGCCATGGTGCTGTTGCGAATGGTTCTCGGTCAAGGGGGAATGATGTAATGTAGGCAGTTGCTGAGGCTCCAGACGCGGTCGTCCGCCTCCCAAGTGAAGTGACTGGTGGACAATGATATGGGGTAATGCTGAGCCGTAATGCGGGGTAACCGGGGTTTATGTATGTGGACGTGGGGCATCAACGGCCCGCAGCAGCGCAGTGGGTTCACGTTCATTGTCTTCTCCATTCTTTTTAATCGGGATGAGCTGATTTGCTTCCGGTTGCACTTGGTTTCGAGCTGCATGAAAGGGGCTCAAAAGTATTTATTGCTTTCACAGGTTCTGCTGGATTCTCTGAACTACTCAGACTCCTTAAACTACCCAATTTGACATAACTTCCCCACCCCGAGCCGGAATCCGACAGTTAGATCTTTGCCCGTGGGGCCCGAGTCAAGTATGAATCCCAATCGACCTTGCGCTTCTGCTGGAATTCTAATATCCCGTGAATGGCATCAGATCCAGGCGCCATCATCGACGTGAAAAGCTTTGAAATTCCATTCTGTTGCTCCGGCGCTCCCGCATGTCTCCAACTTAACTTTACCAATTCCTTCGACATGCTTGAACCTCCTGGTGACGAGTGTCGAAGTTGTGCTAGAAGGGTCTTCGTTATCGCGTCCAGCTCTGAAGTCGTCTCTGCAATCATCGAGATGGCACCCGCAGACTTCAGCTCGGGAGCCGTTAGAGATCGTGCTGTGAGCATAGCTTCCCTCGAGAGTCCAAACCCCCATTCTCTGATGACGTATTTCGAAATCACGGCAGGACACATACCAAGCTTGGCCTCTGACAATGTGAAGGTTGCCGAGCTGATGGAGATCCTGATATCGCAAGCAAATGCTAACCCAATGCCACCGCCGAAAGCAGGTCCTTGAATACAGGCGATCGTGACCTTGGGAGAGTTGTCGATGAGTTCGAACAAGTCTGTCAATGCCTGGAACAGCTTCGAACTCGCGTCGCCGCCCCAACCGACTGCCTGTGCGGCTTGGCTCAGGTCCATCCCGGTGCAGAAAAACTTGCCATTTGCGCTGATAAGAATGCGGGAGATGGAGGGATCTTTCTCGAATGACTTGAATGTCCCGATGATCTCGGATATCATCGGAAACGTGAGAGTATTTCCGTTTCGAGGCTTGTTGAGGACAATGTTGCCGCTCGCCCCCGCCCGCCGAACAACAATGTTGTCAGACTGCTCCAGAACAGACCACTCGAAAGCTTGTTTTGGCTGGTCAGCAAGCTTCGGTGAAGATGCTCTAGTCGATGGGCTCTTGGATTTGCTGGCAAGAGCCGCTCCAGCTCGGCTATCGTTCGGTTTCGCCAGCGCCTGAGAGATCCAAACTCCAATGTCAACTACTTGCTGGAGGTCTACACCGGTATCGATCCCAGCTTGTTGAAACAAGTATACGACATCTTCCGTGGCCACATTCCCCTTGGCTCCTGGCGCAAAAGGGCAACCGCCTAGGCCTCCAACGCTGCTATCAAAGGTTCGCAGACCGCATTCGTACGCCGTCCATACATTGGCTAGAGCTTGCCCGTACGTGTCGTGAAAGTGGCCGGCCAAGTTCCCGGTGGGTATGTTTTGACTCTTGAGATATTCGAGGAGTCTCCAAACGTCTGGTGGTGTTCCAACACCCAAAGTATCTCCAAGGCTGACTTCGTAGCAGCCAATATCGAGCAAGCTTCGCACAGCCCGGGAGACTGCAGGCAAGGGGGTAGGGCCGTCGAAGGGGTCGGCAAAGATGCAAGAAACGTACCTACCAGGAAGGAAATAAAGTTAGCTAACTGTCTCAAGAGGCTGAAAGGCCGGTAACGAGCACAGAACAAACACGGACTTACCCCCTCACGACCACCCCGGCTGCCCTGGCCTCGGCCGCCACCTGCTTGGCACGCTCCAAGCTCTCAGCAACAGTGCAATTGATGTTCGCCCGGCTGAATCCTTCTGTTGCGCTAACGAAAACCGCCACTTCCCTGACATCATGTTCAAGGGCGATGCGTAGCCCTTTGATATTCGGAACCAAGACTGGCAGACGTAGTGTCGCGCTGGATTGCTGCCACTTCCTCACGATAGGGGCGGTCAGTATTTTGCGACAATCTGCAAGTTGCGGTATAGCTTTCGGTGAAACGACAGAGGTGATTTCAATATTCCGGAGCCCTGCACTCTGAAGTCTCTGGATGAGTTCTAGCTTCGTCGAAGTATCCACGACCGTCTTGATATTCTGAAGGCCGTCACGAGGCCCAACCTCGACGATTCGAACAGCCTTAGAGCCCATGTTGAGTTGGATGTTTCTAGAACCCCAATTAGTAAACGGAGAATATAGAAATTACAGTGATAGGAATACAACACCAGCAGTGCATATCAATCCCATCCAGGAGTGCTCCCGTCGGCTTCGCAGCTCGGCCCCGGACCGGGTGGGTCCAGATACGTACCTAAATGCCACCTCGGCTGGAAATCTGGGGTACGCCAGGAATCCGGACCGGCCGGCTAAGGTTGGGTACCTGACTTCTACCCAAAATGCCCAATTGGATAACTCAGGATTGTCATCTTCCGATTGCCCTAGTCCCCTTTCCTTGGCACTAGATCCACTCTTTCGCAGTCTAGCTTCAGGACGCCTTTACCTCGTATCACGGGTTCCTAACTGAACGGCCTTAGAGGAGGAAGACCGCATTTGGTCAATCTGGAAAAGGTGGCATTGGACCTGATGTTGTGAATCCACGTCAAGTCAAGCAAGCCCTGGGCAAGATGTAATCTGCAATTGTCCCTGGCAAAAGCGATGCAGCTATCTTTAGTATTTTAGTGAGGGAGAATGTATTGAATTTGAAAAAACAAAGGATTCAGGAAACGGGTGATCAATTACATAAAATTGGAACTAAAAACAATCAAATTCTCGCCAGGAAGCGATGCGATTCTGCACTCTTCTGGCCAGACAATCCCACAATCTCCAAACACATCCCGAGAACGTCACGAGTGTCCCTCGGGTCAATGATGCCATCATCGATAAGCATCGAGCTGGTTGCATAGCTGGTCGAATCCCTGTACGCATCCTCCCGCAGCTGCGCAGCCTGCGCTTTGATCTCTTCTGGCGAGAGCTTGCTTCCGCCATTTGACTTGGTTCTGATGGTTTCCACGACACCTGCGAGCTGGTCTGGGCCCATGACGCTGCACCGCCCCGTCGGCCATGTGAAGAGGAACCTTGGGCGGTATGACCGGCCGCACATGGCATAGTTGCCGGCTCCATAAGATGCTCCGAGGATGATGCTAATGTGAGGGACCGTTGAGCAGCTTACGGCGGACACTAGTTGGGCACCTGCTTTGATGATTCCGGAGTGTTCTGCTTTGGTGCCTACCATGAAGCCAGTGACATTGTGGAGGAAGATGATTGGCATGTTTCTAAAGCCGAGTTAGCTAGAAGGAGCTGCTTAGGGTTGAGAGGCCTACTCTTGGTTGCAAAGACGAATGAACTGTGCGGCTTTCAAGGCTTCGTGTGGATGGATCACAGGAGTCTGGTTCGCCACAATGCCAGTACGGAACCCTTCATCAAAAACATATCAGCAAAATTGTTCACGGAGTTATTTCGGGCGACGCATAGCTTCTTACCGAGGATGTCCGCCCAAGCCGTCAACATATTCGCTCCGTAGCTTGGCTTGAAGATGGACATTCTGGAGTCATCAACAAGTCGCAGCAACACCTCGCGCATATCGAATGGTTTCCGAATATCGGTGTTCACGAGATATAGGAGGTCGTCGATGGAATATCGAGGAGGTACAGGATCCGACGTGTTGCTGAGTAGACGACTGGGCTCCGGAGTTCGAAGTGTTGCAACCCATTCGCGAGCTTTCTGAATAGCATCAAACCTGTCACGGTGTCAGAATCATAAAGACCAAAGAACAATCGGGAGCATCATACTCATCCACGGCAATCTGGTCAGCCAGTCCAGTGGTTGATGCATGGATCCTGGCCCCGCCCAGCTCTTCGGCAGTGACCACCTCGGAGGTGGCCATCTTCACAAGTGGAGGACCTCCCAGAAACACTTGGGCTTGATTCTCGACAAAAATGGTGTAATCAGAAAGCGCGGGATGATAAGCGCCTCCAGCAGTTGAGGAACCAAAGACGATGGCACACGACGGTTTGCCCTGTTGAGATCGTATCGCTAGATCGCGGAAGAGCTGGCCACCTTTATGGAAGACTCGGAACTGTTGTGGTAGGAAGACACCGGCCTTTGACAGTCAGGACAGTTTCCTCTCATTTTTAGGGGGCATTATCACCGACTGAACTAGAGAAATGAGTGGCAAATCATTCTCAAATCCTATTTCGAGTATGCGGTTGACTTTGAGGACTGGTTGAGGTTAAGAGTCTGATATCAAATGAAATGGAGGAGAAAGGCGTACCTGTCATCTCATTCCAAGCTCCACCACTCTGCGTGGGGATGTGAGACATGAGGAGGCATGGCCGTTGACTTGTACCATGTCAAAGATGGATCGCCATCGCGTTCTCGAAGCAAACTCACCTAACAAGGCCGATGCCTGCAATGATATTTGCGCAGGAATTAGACCCCGAGATCTTGAATCCCGCAAAGCATCCCAACTCAAGAAACGGCGAGTCGGCATCTAGCAGTAATGCAATCCTGTCTCGTGCTTCATCGGACCGTGGTGGTTAGCTCAACTGTTTTCAAGTGTTACCTCAGAAGACAACTTACGTAGCAATTGGTGTCTCGTTTGGTGTCTTGTTGTGGAAGCTTCATCTCCTTCCGATGACACCTCTTTCAGATAATTGTCAAATTCTTGCAGAACTGGCTCCCATGCTCGACGGTTCGCTCGGAAGTTGGATGCAGTGATGTCAACCATCGACTTCTCAACGGGGAAAAGTTGCTCAATCATGTTCATCAATTCGGAAAGCAGTGAAGTGGTGCGTGTGAAGCAGACTCAATCGCTTCTTGGTCGTGAGTGACTCGGTAGAAGTATTGGGATTCTGAGTATGGGTCGGGGCACTGGCGCGCTCCCGGACCGGTCCCCGCGTGCCCCTCGGGCCCCGGTTGGCCCACCTCGACGTCGGCTATCAGACATCCGGAGAACAGTATTTATGACTTATGGCATGTTAGTTGATCTTCAAACACCAAACTCAGAATCAGCCTTGTGTTATTGGTCGTCTATTCTGCCCACCGTTTTCAACACCAAGTACCTTACTACCCGCAATCATGAGTCCTTCAGTGGATGCATCGCTCTCTCTTGTTCATGGACCGACCTCGCCGCCTCTCATTATTAAGCCACTTGGATCTCTTATCGAAGAACAATCGAAGAAGCATGGGGACCGCCCTGCCGTCATTGTCCCCTGGCAATCTACACGGCTCACTTATCGGGAGCTCGCAGACCGCAGCAAGGTCATAGCCAAAGCAATCCTCGAGGTCGGACTTCACCATGGAGACCGTGTGGGAATCATCGCGGGAAATTGCTATCAGTACATTGAGCTTTTCCTTGGTGCTGCCCGCATTGGATGTCCCTACGTCGTTTTCAACAATACCTACTCACCCGACGAGTTGAAAAATGCTCTGTTGGCTAGTGGTAAGCAGAACGAATCTACTTAAAATGGTGCCTCGATTAATCCTTTCACAATACAAAAGGCTGCAAACTCCTCTTGATGTCGCCTCAAATAGGGACAAAGTCGCTGTCGCCGCATCTAGATACGCTCTTGAGTCTTGACAAAGGACAGTCTCCGCTCAAGCAAATTGTCTACCTGCAAAAGTTCGAGCAAGCCCCTCAGGGTAGCATGCTCGAATCTTACAATTCCTTCTTCAACCGCGGACAGTCGATTTTCATGAACGATTCTGTCTTGAGACGAGCAGCCCGCAAGGTTCGCCCTTCGGATGTACTGAACCTGCAGTTCACTTCCGGTAAGTTGAGCTATGATTTCGCTTTCGTTCTGGGCTCAACGTCTTCTAGGAACTACGGGTCGCCCGAAAGCCGCCACTCTCACCCATATGTAAGATACTCAGGCAAGGTTTGACTGCGGAGAATCAAGCTGATCATTTGCTTAGCAACTTGATGAACGATGCACAGTTCGTGGGGGATGCCATGCGTCTAACCGAGACAGACGTAGTGTGTTGCCCCCCACCCCTGTTCCATTGCTTTGGTCTCATCATGGGATTTCTGGCTTCCTTCTGTCACGGCAGCTCCATTGTGTTTCCCTCTGACAACTTCAATGCCGAGGCAACACTGTCCGCCGTGGTAAGTGAGAAGGCCACAGCCCTGCTCGGAGTGCCAAGTATGTTTCTTGCCGAATTAGAGGCGCTCCAGAAGTCGGGGTCTTCAATCAACACCGTCCGGACAGGCCTCATGGCAGGCTCGCCTGTACCAGCCTCGTTGATGACCGATGTACGCGAAAAGATGCACATCGAGGGCATTCTGATCGCCTATGGAATGACGGAGACAAGCCCAGTCACATTCATCACGTCCCTTGAAGATTCTCACGAGAAAAGAGTTGCCTCCGTGGGCAAGGCCCTTCCTCACACTGCGGCTAAAGTGGTAGATGCTCAGGGAGCCATTGTGCCACGTGGGACTCGAGGAGAACTGTGCACCAGTGGTTTCGCATTACAGAAAGGTTACTGGAAAGATCAAGAGAGGACAAAGGAAGTGATGAAGCTCGACGACCAGGGAGTGGTGTGGATGCACACAGGCGACGAAGGATTAATCGACAACGATGGTTACGCGCAAATCACCGGACGCATCAAGGACTTGATTATTCGAGGTAATTTTCACAGTATGGATCAGAAGCCTTCAACTAACCATCAGACAGGTGGCGAAAATATCTCCCCGACTGAGATTGAGGATAGATTGCTAAGCCATCCAGCCGTTTCTGAGGCTTGTGTCGTTGGTCTCCAGGACAAGAGATACGGCGAGGTTGTCGCAAGCTTTCTCCAGACCGCGACGGGCACTGTGAAGCTTACTGATGCGGAAGTCAAGGCTTGGGTGACGGAGAAGCTGGGACGGCACAAGGCACCTGAGCATGTGTTCTGGATCGGGCACCCCGAAGTTGGAAGCAGCCTGCCCAAGACCGGGAGTGGGAAGTATCAGAAGCATCTTGTTAGAGATTTGGGAGACGCGCTGCTTAACAAGTCAGCGAGACAGGCAAAGCTGTAGAATTAGCCACTTTTAGTTACATCGTCACTCCACTTGCGGAAAGTCACTATGATTTGGATCTTTCATAAATAAGCGAATTTGGTGTAAATATCCAAATCAATCTCAATCAATCAACTCCCAAATGTTTAGTGAAAGTAACGTCCCGTCGAATGATCAACCATTGTTGAATCACCAGAGTAGGATCGATCGATGGCTCCAACTATTCCATTCTCTTCAAGTCGGTCTTTGCATACCGTACACGCTAGAGCAATGCAACACAGGAAGACGTTGATCTGCTCTTGTCCTCGTTGTCCAAGGGCTTTGACTTCGAGAAATTGACTATTGAAATCTGTTGAAAGCTTGAACGACGTTATTGTGCTGCCGATTCGCCACCAGGTCCAAGTTCCGAGGAGCCGGTTTGCCAGGATCCACACTGTGCCGTTGTCCGGACCGCTTCCCGGCGCTAGTGCAGCAGCTTTCCCGAGCATACCCGCCGGCAAGGGCATCTATGCCGCGTGATAGAAAATAGTCGGAGCGCGGTTCATTGTTCCCGAGATCCGAAAGCTCTATAGGTTTAGTTGATTCCACTATCAGAAATGGACTTTGAAGGGCCTAGAACAGCTTCTTCGACCAAAGTCTTTGTTACATGTAGCCTCAAGAAGACGGGCTTGCGACGTTATTCCCATATCCAAAGTCCTGCATCGTTGCCGTCACAATGACATCTGATCATCGGATAGACGTAAGCCAGGGAGCCCTGCCTCGCAGCAAAGAGCTCTTCGTGGCCGATATCCCACTCGGCGAAGATGGACACCCTCGAATCCGAAAATTGTTAATCGCGAACAGGGGCGAGATTGCCTGTCGAATAATTGCAACCTGCAAAAGAGTCAACATAGCATCAGTTGCGGTCTATACTCAAGAGTAAGTTGCCACTGAGTTTGAGTCTCGGAATGTCGAGATTATCTTAGAGCTTCTGTTGACGTCCACTCAGAGATGCCGTCTCACGCCATGTTCGGGATGCGGACGAATCCATTTGTATCGGTTCTATGGAGAAGAACGAGAGGAATCCATTTCTCGACATTGATCTTCTCATCACAACTGCAAAAGACATCCAGGCCGACGCAATTCATCCAGGATACGGCTACTTGAGCGAGAATGCGAACTTTGCTGACAGTGTACGGCAAGCTGGACTCATCTTTGTCGGTCCTCCAGCCGAAGCCATGTCCACGCTAGGCGACAAGCGCTCTTCCAAGGACCATCTCCGTCAGAATGCGCCCGATGTTCCGTTGATCCCAGGCTTCACTGGTACCAGTCTTGAGGCCGAGGACCTGCAAAGGGCCGCTGTTGACATTGGCTTCCCCGTGATGCTAAAAGCTTCCGCAGGCGGTGGAGGCAAGGGCATGAGAGTTGTGCACGAACCATCGCAATTGATGACGGAGTTGAGCAGAGCGCAGTCGGAAGCACAGCGGTCATTTGGATCGGGAGACTGCATTCTGGAAAAATTCATCGAGAACAGCAAGCACATTGAGATCCAAGTGGTTGGAGATCAGTATGGCCAGGTTGTTTCGTTCTTTGAGCGAGACTGCTCTATCCAGCGGCGTAACCAAAAGGTGATCGAGGAAACACCATGCAATTTTCTCGATGACGACACTCGGCAAAACATGAGCGAGACAGCTGTCCGAATCGTCAAGTTGATAGGTTACGAAGGAGCCGGGACCGTGGAGTTTGTTTTCGACACGTCGACGAGGAAGTTCTATTTTCTTGAAGTCAACACACGGTTGCAAGTCGAGCATCCAATCACCGAGGAAGTCGTCGGAGTTGACCTTGTCGCTTTGCAACTATTTGTTGCTGCCAAAGGTCGACTCTCAGAACTCGCTGAGCTATCGAATCTTACCCAGACGGGGCACGCAATTGAATGCCGGCTTTGCGCGGAGGATCCCCAGCGAGACTTTCTTCCCAGCCATGACAAGATCCTGTTATGGAAGCCCGCCTCTCCAGGGAGAAGCCCGGGCTCGGTCATCCGCTACGAGACAGCGATCCAAAGTGGGACATCGGTCTCAATCTACTTCGACTCGATGATCTGCAAGATTGTTGTCTGGGCACCGACAAGATCTGCGGCGATCAACATTCTTGCCAGAGAGCTGGCAAACACTCCGTGCATTGGCATCAGGACAAATCAGCTGTTCCTCCAAAGCTGTTTGTTGCACCCCGCCTTCCAGGACTTTGCCTACAAGACATCCTTCATCCCCAACAACATCGACGACCTGCTTCGGAGTCCTTACACACCAGCCTTGCTAGACCATGTTTCACTCATTCCCAGCATCTTCCTGCAACTTGTGCAGAAGGAAGAAGGACAAAGAACCGGCGGTCGCCGGCACTTCCAGACAGTCCGCCACCAGTTCCACAACCAGAAGTTTGACCCGTTCCACCAAAGTGGCGAGATCATCTCTCTTCGAGACTCTAAATCAGTCACTGGAGGCATTACTCGATGCGAGGCCTGTCTGTCCAAGCTTAGCTCCAGCGACGCGGATAACGAGTGGGACATTTGTCTTTACCCTGTGGCACACCAAAGCCAGGATGAGAAGGACTCTTCATCTAAAGAGGGTGTAGAATTACCGCCGGAATTGAACCTGACTGACACTTATACCACCACAAGCCGAGCCATTCGGAACGGGGAGGCATGGTCAGGACCTGTTTTCAACATCAAAGCCGTCGAGCTGAGACCAGTATCTGACGAGCAGTCGCTCCTCTCAAAGGTGATCTCGTTGTCATCACCAATGTCCATGACAATGTCAGTGAATGGCCATAAGATTCGCGCATATCTTGCCATACCGAACGTCAGGGAAGGTCGCCAAAGCCTATCATTTAATGAAACTGTCAGGATATTCTGCCATCTGCCTCAATTTGGCGAGTGGAAGGAGTTTCGCAGGGATACTTTGCTCTCATTTTACACGAATCTTAGAAAGGAAGCACTGTCCAACAGTGACCAGCAAAGTGAAGTCAAAGCGCCGATGCCTTGCAAGGTACTGTCGATCGGCAAGTCTGTTGGCGACGAGGTCAACCAGGGTGAATGTGTCATGGTGATCGAAAGCATGAAGATGGAGATCAATATCATTGTGGGTGTTTCCGGCAAGTTCCATACAAGGTGGGGGATTGGTGACGCGGTGGATGAAGGCGTTGTGCTCTGTACAGTTGAGTAGTCTTGGATGTAATAAGGTAGCGGTGGGTCCATAGCTGCACCAGCGTCTAGGTGAGCGGTCTTCGAGCGTTATCGGCGGCAATTGGGATGGAAATTGATGACTAGTGGTGGATGGGCAAGTTTAGATGGCTATGGTCCTGATTCAAGAAGTAAGGAATGAACTGCAATAAAGTCATCATCGTCGCCTGCCAAGTGATATTTCTCAATGTGTATAGCAATTGCTAAGTATGGGATTGAATCATGAGCAACTGAGTGGGCGCCTTTGACAGTACAATTCTCCCGGTAATGATAGCCTCGTCTGGTACAATGATAAAGGCAATCAGACTCTACTTTGTCTGTCGAGTTGGCGTCTCGATTGCCAACCACAAGACATTTCATCACCTACGCCTATCCTCTGGCCTTGAAAGGCCCCCGGGCTACGTTTGTTCTATAGATAGTATTTTGAGGAGGGCGCAAGAAATATAAGATTAGAGAAGCTAAGTGCTCTTTGCTGACGGTTCGACGAAGCTGGTCATCAGGAGACCGTCGCAAACCTGAGCCGCGCATTGAATGTGGAAGCGCGGAACCAGACGGAGGCCGATGCTTGTTGTCTAGTAGGGCTGCTAGGCGACGATGACATCGAATCCGGTATTGACGGAGGTGTTTGAGCCCATACCAATAAATGTACAGCTTCCCGTTGGACAGGTTGGCACAATAGCTGAATGAATGCCGTTGCGGTCCAAGGCGACAGTCTGAATGATACCCTTGGTATCGGACTGCAAAGTCATCTCGCCGTTATCACCAATAGGCATTTCCATATTCAGGCCGTCGGCATGTCGTATCACCGGGAGTGTTCCAGTGCCGAGTGCAAGTGTTTCGTTCCTGTCCACATGCCCGATAGATTGCTGGACGAAGGGCCCAATCGCGAAAGACGACACGAGGACAACAACAGCAACAAGGATCGCTGGGCTGCGCCAAGCAACTAGTCTCATTAGCTTCAGCGCCCCCCAAACGCCACGAGTACCGTCATCGAAATGCTGCAGATCGCCCATCCGTCGGTGGGAAGACTTATCGCACCAGAACCACATCCATTTTGCTTGCGCAATGAGGTCGGTTGCAATAGATACCAGAATTCCTCGAAATATGGTGGAAAGCAAATTGATGAGTGAGTTCATGGTAACGATGGGGTCCAAAGGCCAGTCTCGGAAGGGGTGATCATTTTGGCTGAAGATAACTGACGATCACCGCTAAGAGAGATGCAGCAAGGGAAAGGGACAGAATCTCCCAGATCCACAAGAGAAAGACAGATCTGCGGGTTTGGCTGCCTTGTTGGGCCTCGCAAATATCCTCATCCCGAAATCGTTGTTGCGGTGGGCTAGGCCTTCGAGGGCTAGCTGAAAAGTGACGTGATGGGGTACTTGGAAACCTTTCCCTGGCTGTGGTCCATTGTTCGGGTTCAGTTGATGCGGAGACTTGTTTGTTCAAGTCGCGATGATCTTTGAGTGACTGGCTTGTAGATGTTGCCATTGGCACGTTTTCACGGCTTGCCGTTGCTGAGAGCTGTTAGACTTTGACAGTTGAAAGGTCTGAATGAAGACGGGGAAATAGTTCAACTGATTGAGAGGAGTAAATTCGATTTATACCAAGGTTTACATGGCCATATGCTGCTGGTCATTTTGTGTTGCACCAATTGTTAATCAGACCGATGAAGCCAGGCTTCCGGTATGACAAGAAACGAGAGGCTCAAAATCTACGTTCCTGCTGACCTGAGGGACGAACTTGTGTTCGTTGCATTCAGTCATTCACATTGGAATCAATTCAAATGCCCGCGTGGCTCATGCTTGGGCCATTTGTTGGGTTTGTAACTTGCCTCGTGAGGCTGTGCCGTGTACATATGTCGCACCTAGGCAACGAAACACGGTCATATGAGACATACGCCCACAATGGTACCACATAAGCTATCAAGACTTAAATCAGTATGGACAATAGCCACATAATCGTCGTTTAACACCGCATGTTAGACTCATTCCTCCGAATGCTCATCGAATGCTGCACTGGGGTAGTGAGAAGCCGCCTATCAGTAGTAGCTGGGCGAAGCAGTCTTCCACAACGTATCTGCAAGGCAGCTGCGAAGTGATAGCTCAAATATTCAATATGCGTACCAGTTGGTATCCATTTGATCGGCCTCGCCGAGATACGATTGCCTGGCATATTCCTCAAATCCATTCTTTGTTTCCATGATGAGATACGAACGATCCACCAAAACCAGTCTCTACGCTGGCTTTGTAGATGATTGACAGCATTTCTTTCACCGAAGACTCTGCAGTGGACGGGCCGGTGAAATGCGGTGCGTACTTTGCCATCTTGCCAAGCATGGCCATTCCCTTCTCTTTTTCTTCCTCGGTAGCTGCCAGAATGTTAGGTGTGGCGAGAATGAGGTCAGGCATAGTACTTACCGTTGTCATAGAGCCCTGTGTCAATCACCCCGGGGGATATGCTGAAGAAAAGAATGCCTCGATGGGAATGTTCGGCACTGAATTTGGCCACAGCGGTATTCAGAGCTGCTTTGCTGATTGAGTAAGGGGCTCCGACCTCGATGCCTGACTTGGAGATGAAGTCCAAGTCAGCCATCCCAGATGAGACCGTAACCACTTTCTTCGCGTGGCCTCTCAGAATGAGTGGCAGTGCGAGATTGAAGAGATGAACATTACCGACGACATTAGTACGGAACGAGTCGAGCAAGTCCTGTTCTAGCCGCTTCGGTTTCTCTCCCCTGTTGATGTACGCGGTTAGCCCCTTGAACTGTACGTGTCGACCATTCTCGTACTGAGAACCCGAAGGATTGAGCCAGCTTACAGAATACTTATACCATCATAGGACGACCAGGTCGAAATGAATGCCGCGTTTGCAATGACATAGTCGATGCTTCCACCAGTGATTTCGGATGCAGCATTTACAGCTTTCTGAAATTCAGGTGTCAGTGCAGATCTTCAGGAGCATGCCCGCCGCTTACCTTTATCGTATCGAAATCATCAAGGTCAGCTTGCAGAACGTGGATGTTCTTCCGCTGCAGCTCGATGTTGACCTTCCGCTCGGTGGCATCGGCGTTTCGAACGATCCCTATGACGATGTTGTTTGGATTGGCGGATAACTGCCGAAGAAATTCGAACTAGGTCGAATCAACATTTTGCATGGCAGTTACTCATGCGATGGACCTACTCCAAGCCCCCGTGAAGCTCCGGTTACCAAGTATGAAGCCATGAGGAACGTAGTGAGGTACGCTCAGGATCACAGCTCTCTCCGCGTAAAGAGATTCAGAGTCAATTCGCAGGTAACTAGATATTCGAACGTGGGAGCAACGACATTGACGTTAATATACGTTGGATCGTCGTCATATACATAGGATCTCAATACAGCTATGGAGCGGAGTTGTGTTCTGCCGTAAGACGGCAAGAGCAAGTGCGATTACTAAACTTCGTCCGCAATATTCGGCCGGATTATCGCACAATTTTGAACACTGACTTGATTATCAAGCATGGGAAACAGGGACTTTGGTTAGAAGCAGACGCTTGGAACTCCTTTCAGTAATCAAACGGAGGCAAAGGATCGTAACCTCACCTTCAACTAATCAGACGTAGTTTAAAGGAAAGAGCACCAGAACGATCCATAAACGAGAGGAGAACCATTCCTTCTACCTGAAACAAAAGGTGACACCCGGTTCTGCCGCCACTGACGCTCGCATGAGTGATATCCATGATGGGAATTGACGATTCTTACGATCGCAATGAACGACTTGTTGAGGCAGCAACTGGCCATCGTAATTCAGCAATTTCAGGCCTCGAATTTCTCCTTCTTCCTTGCCGGCAATGCTGTAGGTGCTTCGACGGCATCTCGTTGCTGGTAGTCAAAGGCCTGGATGGCAGTTGCACGCAGTCAAGTTATGCTGACTCAATACACAAGCGAGGAGCACGATGTCATAGTAAAATCAAGCTTTGCATATCACTTATCACATGGACATAAGCACGATAGACTATGCACATTCACAAATATTGTATTTGGACCACCCTTCCCCTTCCTCTAAAGCCCCTCTTCTCTCTCTATCTTCACCTCTCGCCAGACATACCACACGACACAAGACAAACCACAAACCACAAATCACACTCTTAACATCCATCTCTCCTTGACCTCAACTAAGAGATTCTCTCCATCACTGGTAGGTCGGCTGCCACTGGACATTCGGGCCCTGGTACAGCTGCTACCAAGAAGGAGGTCGGCCAGCTGAGACAAGTCAAAGTCAAAGAAACGCTGGCCCAGCAAGACCAAGAGCTCGCTCAAGGAGGCAGAGAGGTCGAAAAGCAGCGGGCCAACACTGATGCACTCGAAGCTGAAGTCAATCGGCTCAAGTCCACCGAGGCTACGCTTGCGCAGCGAGCTCGAGAACTCGTGGAGACACGAGGAAAGGCCGAAGAAGAGGTCTAGGGTCACGAAGTAGCAAATTAGTGGTCCTTGACACTCGAAGAGGATTTGAAATTGGTCAATGAGGAGCTTGAGCATCAGAGACAAGAGCTCAAGCATCGAGACCAAGAGCTCGCAGAGCAACTAGCAAAGACTGAGCAAGAGACTAGGGCACGTGCTATAGCCAGCCAGGTGATACTAGTGCTCAAGAAGGAGGCTGGTAGCCTCAAAGTAGAGTTGGGCCTCACCAAGCAATTAGTCGAGGGGGGGTGCACTCGAAGCGACGAGCTCAATCTTGAGATTGGCGCGCTTCAATATCGATTGGAAACGTCGGCTACACTGGAGCTCAGTACCAGAGTCATCCAGGAGCAGGGGCGCCAGGATGCCGCCAACGTCATTGAGGCAGTCCTCAGCGCCGTGAAGCATCTCCAAGAGAAGCAAAACGTTGTGCGTATGGACTCGGCAACGCAGGCCACTCCAGAGTCGACCACTAGAATTGACTTGACTCTCGCAGAGGTCCAAGTCTCTGCCAACATGCATGGAGACGATCGAGGTCCCAAGAGGCGCTGAGTGGAGGAAGAGGAAGGCGACGGTCAGCAGGCCCAAACGGTCCTCGAAGAGGCCAAGCGAGTGGCTTATAGTTGTCTAGAATCGCTGTAGTTTGACGATGGTGGCCACGACACATTGAAGAAGTTTAAGAGGGCGTACGAGGCGTACGCTTTGGACGATGGTCAGTGGGAAAAAGTCGAGGCCTTGAGATAAGTTGCCCAAATAGACTTGACGTATTGTCTTACACAACCAGTACGAGATCCAGATTACAGAGCATCAGAGGTCGTTGGTGGGAGTTGAGTGATGTGTACATACCACACATCTCGTCGTCGATTTCAATCTCATCGGCTTCGGGTGCCGTCTCGTCACCGGACGTGGTGCTGTCGGAACTGGTGTCTTTGTATACGGAGCCCTGGTCTGATGTATCAGGCTCGTCAGCCGAAGCTGGCGCCATGCTGGGCAAGATTGATTGTGAATTAAAAATGTAGAGGAGAAATTTGGTAGAGTACCTTAGTGTCGGATTGGAAGTCCAATTCGACCTCGAGGCAAGGGGCCCGCGCAGGGGCCACTTACAAACCATACTTACGAGATCTACAGTCTACCTAACCTCCGGTTAGAACCTCCTTTTTATACCTTATATAAAAGTTAAATATATATAGATTTTAACCTCTTTATTACCTACGGTTCGAACTATCCTTATAATAAGAATACTAATACTAATTAATAGTTAAATCCTACTATCGTAGATTAGCAAGGCATCTTGCAAGTAAAAGAGACGACCTCCTTAAATAGAACGTAATAGGAAAATCGTACTACCTACCCAATGGAAAATAGGCGATAAAACGCAAATCTCTATAACAGAATAAAATAAAAGAATTATAGCCCTTAACTACCTATAAAAAGTCGACATCTATTACATTAAAAACAAACTGTAATTAAAGGAATTATAAAAAGGCGACCAAGCTACCTACATCGCCCTTATGCAATTTATCTTACTTAACAATCTACAGGCGGCCCGTACACTAATAGAGGAAAATAAGCAAAATTACTAGATTCGCCAAATTAGTAAATCCACCGCAGATCTCGACCGTACAACGAAACAAGCCTAATTAAAGGATATAAAAAAGCACCTTAGAACTATAAAAACAAACTTTTAAAGTAATAGGGTATTTAGGTAAGAACTAGACCCCGCCGGTAGCTCCAGACGTATTTCTTAGTTAAATCCAAGGAGGTTACCGGGATCGATAGTAATATCGCTATCATCAAGACCGACTTCGAGATTCTAAAGTCAAGCTTCCCCTTCTTACCTACACCCACCACCCCTCGGCTATTCTAAAAAAATAAGAGCTAGGCAGAGTTAAGACGAGGAAGAAAAGGATTCAAAAGCATCACAACGCTTACCCCATAAAGGGGTATAAGGTACCCAATTCTTCAGACTACACATCCTCGCTAAACTATAAAATAAAAAAAGAGCCTATTACCCTAGTTAACACAGGAGAAAACTAAAAAGACATCTAAAAAAAGAACACAAAGAAAGGGCCACCAGAAGACCTCTTTTATATAATAAGGTACGCCATAGGAAAAAAAAACCGTCAATAAGAAATATAGCGGCCAATTTAAAAGACTAAGAATAAATAATAACAAGGCTCGCCATAAAGAGGTTAAAAACCGTAAAAAGCTCCTAGACCCTAATAAACACGGCGAGTAACGATAATATACTACTACTATAACTAATAAGCGGATTTAATACATCCCCATCAAAATCAAACACGCCGGCCCCTATAAATAAAAACATAAACCAAAGGACGACAGGGGGCAAATTAGTATACAGAACGCACAGAAGGACTCCTATCCTAGAAAATTAGGTTAAAATTAATCCGGAATACTAGGGGAAATAGTTATATCGAGACTCAGACCACCCTAATAGCGAATAAATTAATACAGTATTAATCTTTATTATAAAGATATACGCCCGTAAGGGGCTCAAAGGGCAACCCCTATTCTATAAAATTATAAACAACCTAAGCAACTAAAAAGATAAATGGTTCGCTAATACTAATCCTAGTATCGTCAAGGAGGTAAATAGATTCCTCCATTACCAAGGCATTCTACTAGCCCAAGGGGTAAGGCAAAAAGCCTATAAAACACTCGTAACGACAGTAGCCGCAAAGGACTTCACACTATAAGACCAGAATTAAATCGATAAAATAATATTAAAATATAAAAAATTCAGTAAACAAATAAACTAACTAGACTTTCTACTAAAGATCACTAATAGTAACATCACAGCGCCCAATCTAGTACAGACAAGGGGGATCATACCGGAAGTATATTAAATAACGATTCCGCCTATTACAGTAACGACCCTAACAATAATACTAATCCGAGGATTAATCCCAAGCACCTAATAAAATACAAGGTCGATAATATAGACACTACCTAATTATACTGCCGTATAAGAAGTACGCAAAGAGAACGATCTAGCGGTAGCTAATATAAGATAATTTACTAACTTAAAAAAGATCTTTCTAAAAAAGAAATTATACTTAGGGGGGAGATATAAGGTCCTATAAAAAACCCTTACGATGTTCTATAACTACTACGAAAAAGTTAGTATCCGAAAATACTAATATTATTCGGTAGTCAATATTATACTAATAAGGAAAGCTACTAAGTACTACTATTAAGCGGTGCGTAATATCGATCGAACCGACTTTCTTAATATCGTTAATATAATCCGAAGTTAATTCGAGACCTAAAATAGGAGCCTCGAGCTCCTCTCGGAGTTAAGGGCATTATTATTTAGCTCTATAGCCAGAATAATAGAAGGAAAGTTAAGAATTAAGATCTTTAAGGAGCTTATCGACAAGATCGATAAACTAGTAAGGACGTAGCTAAATAAGGGGACCAATAAATAAAAGGTCGGTTATCTATATACAGTAATATAAAGGGTACTAAAAGTAAAAATAACTCTACATTAACCGCCTAAAGACTACAAGACGCTATACTCAAAGCTAAGGTCTAGCTTCAATATTAAAGCTAAGATACTAAATCAAACTCACCTCTAATCTCACAAAGGCCCTCACCAACAGCACTAGGTAGACCGTATATACAATAACAAAGGAAAAAAGGCAAGGTATAATAACCGCTAAAGGGGAAAAACAGACTCCTTAAGGGGGCGCTAGTCCAATACTAACTAAGCACTACAGAAAGGGAAGTACTTTATATATAAAAAAGAGGGTTATTAGTTAAGCAACTACTCTAATAAAGAATACGCTAAATCGTACGACCAATATAAAAAAGCAAAGGGCACATAAGGCAAAACGGGCCATAATCGATTTAATTAATTCCTAATAATCTATAAGGACTATCTAATAAACGTAATCGAGTCGTTTAAAAATAAAGAAAATCTTACCCTGTATACTCAAAACCTCAACTTTAATAAAGTTAACGATATCACCTATTCTTTCTTCGCCCCATTAACCTCAAGAGGATATATAATACTAAACAAATAAAGAGTAGTACAAGCCTTAAATAAGCAAGCTTTTCTTTATAATTAGTAAAGGAAGGTCCTTTAACTAACGATAACGCTTAATAGTATAGGGGACACGAATACTAATACTATAACTATAGCTCGCACTAAGGTTAAAAAGCCTAGGGAAAAAAAGAGAACGATAAGCTTATAAGCATATAATTTATACCTATTAGGAGGGTTCTATAGTAATCTAGTATAAGCATTCTATACTAATAAAAGGTATAGCTCGGAAACCTTCTATAAGATTATTTTAAATACCGGGGTATTATAATAGTCGATAGGGGGTAAGGGATAATTCCACGTACTCCAAAAGATCTCACTAGTAACCCTCAATACTATAAACGTAGGCATTACGAGGATCAGTTTCGGCCTAAGGGAAGAGATAAGTACCTTAGGTACTATAAATATAAATACATAATTCGGAACGATGATTTTCTACATTCTACCTGTTAATATACTATTCCTCCTATACCTGAACGATATAGATAAATTGGGCATTGTATTTAATAACATAAAGAATAAAATGTCTAATAGAAAGTACTCTAAGCTCGTCGATCGACAATAAGGGCACGTATTTATAAAGCTTAAACCAGATATTAAGTCCATTAATTACTTAACGGAAAGTAAACTTAAACGACTATATTAACGATTTAGCTATCTATCGGTAATAAGACTATATAATCTCCTTAAACATTTAGGGAACGATATAGAAATAGGGGCTCTAGAGTAATTAACGATAATATACCACTAGTATTAAATAAACGCCTAAAGCCCACGCAGATTTAAGTTCAAATTATATAACGACCTTAACTTTAATTAGGAAATCGTCGTTAATATCTTCTATTTAAATAATCGACCAGTACTCTATATAATCGATAAAACCATATTATTCTAAGGAGGCTAATTCCTTTAAGATATATAAGCTAAGACCGTATAAGTAATACTAAAGCGCTATTAGATCGATATATACTAAGGTTTATTAAACGGTATTAGAACCGATACCGGCACTAACTTTAAGTCGGTAGAATTTAAGGAGAATATTATTTTATATAATATCTAATTAAAAGTCGTCCCTATCGAAGCGCACCATAATATTAATAAAATAGAAAGATTATATTAATAATTAAAAAGAGCTTTTAAGATCATCTAGGAAAAGAGCCCTAGTTTAACGGACAAAAAGTACCTCTAAACGGCACTTAAATACTATAATAATACTATAAGACCTAAAGGGCTCGTTCTGATGCTATTTATGTTCGGAATATACCTACGAACAACGACGGCCTCACCGCCGTTACTAGATATAACCCAGAGGGCGTAAGTAATCAAGAAAGTAATAAAGACTCTCTATAAGATAAATATTAAAAAATAAATTAACAAAGCCATTACTATACGTAATAGGCCTAACGTAAGCCTTAACCTTAATATGTCCCTAAATTCGGAAGTACGGGTATAAAGGGAAACTACAAAGCAATAAATAGGCCTATATAAGTTAGTCTTAATTAACGAACGATCTTATATCGTTACGAGAGATCGAGACTAACTATTAGAAGTATCGATCATTATGGTATAACCGTACCACATCGACCCTAACAAAATAATTTCTAACCTACAAAAAGAAGAAAAGCCAGAGGAACTACCTTAACAAAGCAATAAAGGATAACTAAGCGATAAGAGGTAAGAAACCATCCTTAACAAAATTATCGTCGTAACACCCTTAAATAATAAGGCAGAAAAAGAACCAATACCCCCACCGTAAATAAGACGCTAAAGAAGATCCCAAAAAGCACCTTAACGGTAATTCATATCTAATACTAAAGCTATTACTATCTTCTATACGACTAAAAAAAAAGCAGACTTTACAATAGCGGTCAAACTAAAGGAATAAAGGATAATCATAATTATAAAACGACCGTATAAAAGCTCCGACCTTATTAAAGCCAATATACTACGCAATCGAGGGGTCTATAAATTCATCACCTACAACCTAGAGAAGTATATAAACCTCCGCATCTTTAAATTATAAATAGTCCATAAGATTAAAGGAAAAGGGACAAATTAGCTATACAAGAAATTAAGGCATATAATACAAAGCTATAACGACGTTAAGAAGGTAGCACTACTTACGCAGTCGCTAATAGTTCAGCACTATAGCCAATAACTAATAATAGCATTAATAGCATTACTATAGCAAAAAGGATACTAGATCTAAAATCGTAATATTACCTAGGTATATACCTAATCGGTAACAAGGCTCACAAAGAAGATATTAGCTTACCTACCAAAAAAGATAGCAAGTAAATACCCGGACGATATAATTATTAAAGTACTAAAGCCACTCTACGGCCTCGTAGAGTCAGGCACTTACTAGTAGGCAATATACCATAATTTCCATATCGATAAGCTCTTAATAATTATATTAACGTACAATCCTTACCTTCTAGTTTCTACATATATAGACGATCTATTTAAAATCGTCAGAATATAGACCGACGATATATTAAAGTTTTTTAATACGGCCTTCATAAAGAAGGAGGATAAGGAGCTAGAGAAAGTAAAGTTTACCACTAAGCTAAAAGAGATCCTTATAAAGGACACACTACTTATATTTAACGGTAGGATCCTCATAATTAAAGGTAAGAATGTCGTCTTCCGATAAAAAAAGTAAAGTAAAAAGATCACCCTTATTAACTTAAAGGCAACCGACTACTAGAAGCAGTATAAAATAGAGCTCGCATAAGGAGCTTATATCGCAAACATCTATCAGCTAAAGGCCACTTTTAATTATATAAGGGTAGCGCAGGCCACTTTACTAACAGAACGTAACTTCGACACCCTTAACCGACGGCTATAATAATAGTAAGTGAACCTTGATAAGGGGCTCGTATATTAACCTATCGACCTAAGGGAAGCAAAGCTCTATATATTTATCGATAGCTCATTCGCAAATAATAACGACCTCATATCGTAATTAGGATATATAATAATCCTTACCAACAAGGCAATAAGAGAGGAGAACTTCACAATCCACAATAATGTCATCCACTACTTATTAACAAAGAGTAAAAAGGTCACATAAAGTATACTTGCCTTAGAAGTCTACAGTATAGTTAATAGCGTCGATATTACATACGCGATCTCAACGACGCTAAAGAGGATTACTAATCGACTTAATATCCCTATAATACCGACAATCGTCTATACCGATTCGTACTTACTATATAAGTACCTCGTTAAACTGGGCACCATAAAGGAAAAAAGGCTAATAATAAACATTATAGCCCTCTAGCAATTATATAAACGCCATAAGATCCTTAAAATCCGTTAGATCAACAAGGACGATAATCTAGCAGATACTTTTACAAAAGCAACGCCTAACAAAGGGCTCGAGCACTTCATCGGCAAAGGAAAGGCAACGATATAGATAGAGGGATAAGTAACCCACAAAGAGCAGAAAAAGGAGGAAAAGGGGGCAGCCTCGGTAAAAGAGCCCAAGATCGAATTATACTTCTAACCGCCGTAATTAGGCAATAAAAAAGAGAAATAATTAGTATCGGATTAGAAATCTAATTCGACCTCGAGGCAAGGGGCCCGCACAGGGGCCACTTACAGACCATATTTACAAGATCTACGGTCTACCTAACCTCCGGTTAGAACCTCCTTTTTACACCTTACATAAAAGTTAAATATATATAGATTTTGACCTCTTCGTCACCTACGGTTCGAACCATCCCTGTGATAGGAATACTAACACTTAGCTTATGTGAAAGTGGGGTGGCGAGGGTGAAGGTATTGTTCAAGACATAGGTGAGTGTGGGTAGACTTGGGCCATACTTGAGGAAGGTGCCTTGCGAAAATACCATCATTTCGGGCCTTGAACGTATAAACAATGAGCATCCCATTTCATTACGAAAACTTCAAGGGATGTGACCTCTCAGAGACAGACCTCTACCCAATCCTTCACCTCTGTCGGAGTCGCACGCGAACAGGCATCCCTTCTTTGGGATGCCCGATTCCATCTCCAGCCACATACAGTCTCTGTCCCCTGACCATGTCCTTCTTAGCTTTGGGTCCTCTGTAAAGTATGGTGGTCAGCACAATGCGGCAATGGAATGGCTAGCAGATCGCCAAACTTACTGAAGAGCATCCCACTCATCCCAGGCCTCCTCGATGTCATACTTCCTCATAATCAAGGCTGCAACCAGCTTGATCTCAACCAGGGCAATCTCTTGACCGATGCAATCCCGAGGACCTCTCGCAAACGCCCGCCAAGCGTCTTTGACAGGATGGAGCGGGTCTTCAGCAGGAACAAGCCAGCGGTCCGGGATGAACTTGTCGACGTGCGGCCACAGGGACGGGTCATGCTGCATGCCCGGGCCGCCATCCCACACAAGGAATCCTTCGGTAGGGTACTGCAGACCGGTAGTAGCATCACTGAGGTAGAACCCCGGCTCTCCTCCTCGCATGGTGGAGGCAAGTTGATACAGACGGAGAGTCTCCTTGATCACGGCGTGTGTATAGCGAAGGGAGCCAAGGAGCTGAGGCGACTTACTCAAGATATCTGCAGCTTGGTCGGGATCCAGACCCAGTACCTCGTCATGTTCGGCGCGGACTTTGGCCATGCAGTCTGGGTTGTCTTGCAGAACCTTGAACATGAAGCAAAGCGCACTAGCGGTTGTCTCGTGACCTGCAACGAGGAAGGTCTTTAGATTGCCCAAAATGGTGTCCATCATGAGCGGGTCAGTAGTCGGGTCAATTGGGCGCCCGCCTGCCTCTTCAGCTAGATGCATCAGAGCAAGGTTGAGCACTGTCTTCTTCTTTGATGGCTTGAGACTGGTTTCTAGGGATCGGACAATGTTGGGTTGGAGTTGGTGTTGGACAATGCTATTGTTACGATCCACGGCCTTGTTCTGCCAAGGGAACAAGTAGCCGAAACTGAAAGCTTGTCTGATGCCCATAAGCCTCAGCTGGTCTGCAAGTGCCACTCTGAGAGGGCCAGCAGTTGCATTCGTCTGCTCGTGGAGGCGCTCGTCCCTAGAAACTTTTAGCCTTTGTAACTCCCGAAGGAGACGAGGCTTGCTTACAAGACCGCACGGACAATAATGTCAAAAGTCAGAGCCGTCGTCATGTTGCGAAGCTGGAACATGCGACCCCACGATCCATTAGGGCCGATTTCTCGTTGCAAGTTATCCGCAAAGGCCTTGATCTCCTCAATTAGATCAGGAACCATGGATGAGACATTTCTCGAGCTGAAGCCGGGATTGAACCAGCCTCGCCACTTCTTCCATTCATCACCCTGAAGGGTCGCAATATCCAAGCCCTTAGTCAACGGGTTCATGAAGTCAAGTGAGATTTGATGCTTGTCCAGATTCTTCGTCTGTGTGAACTGCGCTGCGACGGTATTCTTATACGCAGCCACAATGGGTGCCTTTAGAACCGGCCATAGATCCAGATAAATGACTGGAGGGCAATGGTCCATTTCTGGGAAATATCTTTGATAGTTGTTGATGATCCATGGGTGGAAGTTTCCAATGTTGATGTCTCCTGGATACTCTTTGCGGAACTCAAACATGACGGGAAGATGACCCATGATCCACGAGTGAGGAAGCATTGGCTGTAAGCTGTCAGCTTCATGAGAGGGATGTCTCACTGCGGTGCACGTACAATCCCCAATGCCTTTACTTCTTTGAACTTTCTCCTGATGGTGTAGGCCTTCCAGCCGACTCTCATAAGTCCGGTCGCTACCAAGACGAAGGCAAGCTTCAGTAGCAGCGGCAGGAGTGCTGCCGGTGTCCACATCGTCGTATATCCCATCTTGATTTAAGTGGTAAAAAAGTGGCTGATGGAAAGATCTCACTGGCTAGATGAGTTCATCTGACAATGATCAGTAACACAGTATGCTGTGCTTCTTGAAGAGCCTGGGCGCGCAGTATAAATATGTCATGCTTCCTTACCAAGCACCTCAAGCCTCACGGGTTGTACCAAAAAGGTAAGTTGTTGACACGCCTATTTGGGATTATGCCGAATATTCAAAGATTTGAGGATTGGTTCGTTCGATGAACGCGACGAGTCAGGGCTCCCATGTGGTGCAGGTTAGAGTTTGTGCCCAAGCTCCGAAGCTGTTGCTGTGAGGGGTATGTTTGGACTAACAGTACTTAATTACCGTACATCCTCTCCGACATTTTAAAAGCAACGCTGGTCGACTAGAGTTCTATTCCATTGGATCGTACGTGCATGGAAGCAAAAAGATGATGAATAAGCTGAGTTATGATCAACATCTGTCGAGTACTGCCCTAGCCAAACAATAGATTTCCGCGTTGACAACATAGCCAAACGGTTATAGGCTGTTTCGTAGCTAAAGCTTATGCGCCCTCGAACCTTATCCTTGTAAACCGCACTATTTCGGTCATCGTAGTTGAAGAAGGGAGACATCGTTTACGTAACTCAGAGACAACTCAGGACGATGCATCATGTGGTGGTTTCTCACAGTTGTTTGACCTAGCGACTCTACATTGTGTGTTGTGTTGTAACTCTGAATAAACTGACCATTGCACAAGACTGATATATCGAAAGCGAGGTTGATCGATGAAAAGGTACTCAACTAGGCCCTGTCTATCAATATTCGAGAACAGATACCCTTAGAACTAACATTTTCAGCCCATGGTATTTGCCAGAACAGCAGCTTGTTTGATGCCCATAGACTTCCTGATGCCTACTAGCTGCTCCACTGCCCAAGATCGCGCACTCGGCAAATTGACTTCTTCTTGAGAGACGATGTGCAGCGGCCAGATCATTGAAGATGCTCCTAGAATTCCTGTTAGCTCTGTGATTTATCTGCAGGACTATGCGATTGGTACTGACGCGGGGACCCAGATAGACTAGGTGTCGATATGCATATATCCATCGAAAGACGCTGAATAATCGAGATACTCTCAAATCGCATTCTCTCTTTCAGTGCGTCGTCATCAAAGCTCTGCTTGTCGACATGGTCAAGTACAATGCGATTTGTCACTATGCTCAACGACCGCCAATTGTTCCAGACTTGGGCTCCCCAGACACTGTTATACACATGGCGTCGCCCGCTGAAACTAGTTTCTCTCTCAGGTGCATCTGCTTCAGCCTTGTGAAACTTCCGATCAGACTGCGATGATCTTGACGCCCAGACGTTGAGGTCACTGTCAATGTCGACAGCTATCCGGCAGATTGCGTCGGCGTCCGTTATTTGTTGAGCGTTCATGGCTGCAGAAAGGTTGACGAGCCTGAAGCCAAGTACTGCCAATGATCCGGGACGTAGACTGTTGTACTCTGTTCCTTGTCGGCTGGCCTCGAATTGCATGGTGATCTCAATTAAAGCTGGGGGTACGGGTACACCTCGATGCATGCAAGCTTGGAGCTACGGGGAACCAACTCAGCGAAGGCCACTCAGAGACTTTTCACTCAGACTTACGATTTGCTGTCTGAGTTGTATGTAAAGCTGTATTCCAAGCTCTCTAGTGAATTGGTCTTTGCCGCGAAGGTGTAACAGGGCTGTTGCGCCCTCGATATGTGCCGTCCATGCATTGCTATCATTCCAGCTTTCAAACATGATTGTCTGAACAGGTTAGCTGAGGTTGTAACGAGAGGCGAGTTTCAATCATACAACGAATAGCCCAAGCAAAAGGATTGCCATAAGGGTCGTATCTGCCGTGGCCTGAGAAGGGTCATGCAGAGCCATATTAGTAGCTCTCAAGGCCTGCCCATATCGCTCTTTGGCTCGCAACACTACTTCAGGGGCGTTGAAAACATTAGAGATGGCAGCCATGCCGACTGCTTGGATGCTGTGTCGGACTAGATTAGTGGGAGACTGTTCACGATACGTCTCGGCAAGCCATGATTGGTACGAGTCGCAAAATGGCGGTCCAGTAGTGGTGTAGTGGGTAAAGAAAAAGGTGACGGCCCTGTCTTCAATGTCTAAACACAACGCGTTGTTGATTGGCAGCTTTCTCGGCTTTGACAAACTCCCAGCTTCGACACCAAGCTTCCTTTTGATTCGCTGACGCTCGTCTCGAAAGACAAGGTCTGTCAAATTCCGATAGCCGGGGCAAGGCTTCTGCCCTTTCTCGCACTTGAGACATCCTGGTCTGTGTTGATCGCACTTCCTCAATGCTTGTTAGAGTTACAAGTACCAGGAGCTCATCGGGTTTCGAAAGCACGTGCCTTTACTTTCCGTTGACGACAGCGCTGACAACCCTTACTCAGCGCGCCATAGTAAACCATGCTGCGATGAAGGAGTTCGGCTCAACACGACTTCTCCGGGGTCCGGGTCCCGGCCCTAACGTAAGGTAAGATGAGAGGCTTCTAGGCAGGCAAACACCCTTGTGTCAGCTTCGTCGACGGCCAACGAAAAGAGCGTTCCAGCCGAGGGGATTTAAGCGAACTAAATGTCAGAAATCCCGTTGGCCGTTGTCTGAAGGCCGGTTTTCAAGGGGGATCGGACACGGACACGGGATTCTGAAGGATTTGAGAAGGCTTACAGCCACCAAAAGGTCATGGACCGGCAGCGGGTCGGCGGGGGACCGCATCAGCTTCGCAGTCGTCGCCTGTATCGGGTTTAGTGCGAAGCCATTCGGGTCTTTGATTGGCTCTGTTGGACTTGGTTATCCCTCTTTGGAAAGAAGTTGGTGGGCCGTTCTCGGTGGCCCTTCACCAATCATAGCAGACTTTGGTGCTCGTTCGTCAAACGCCCTCCTCAGATGTTGAGTTTGGCTCGAGCACATGTGAGTTATAAAGATCAGGCTGGCCACATCAAATTCCCGCTGTTTATTTTGTATCAAAGTTATCATCTTGTGTGGAAGAACAAGTAGACGCTTCCTTTGTTTTATTAATATCAAAAAAATCGCCACTAGACTTACAATGGCTGACGTCGCAACCGTCCCAACTCCCGCCCCGGTGGAGAAAACCTTCCGGGCCTACACCAAAGAACAAGGCACGATTTACGCCAAAGGCAGGCTAGGTTACCACCAAAGAATCTACGACTTCATTTATGACCACCACGTTTCAACAGGCGGCGAAACAGACTCCCTCCTCGACGTCGGCTGTGGCCCCGGCACCGTTGCCCGCGAGCTCGGCCCGCGATTTACACGGACCATCGCCCTGGACCCGAGCGTGGGCATGATCGACGCCGCCCGGGCTCTAGGCGGGGCCTCGGAGCCGATCCGCTTCGATGTCTCCACCGCGGAGGAGCTCGGGACCAACCTCTCCCCGCCCGTCGCCGACGCCAGCGTCGATCTCATCACAGCCGCTACAGCGGCGCACTGGTTCGATATGCCCGGCTTCTGGGCCGCCGCCGCCCGCGTGCTCAAGCCGGGCGGTTCAGTCGCCATTTGGACGAGCAGCTCAAAGTACATCCACCCGTCCATGCCCAACGCCGCGGGCATGCAGCAGATCCTACACGATTTCCGCGACGAGTATATCCAGCCGTACATGACGCCGGGTAACATCATCGCGGAGAAGATGTACGAGACACTACCGTTACCGTGGGATCTCGAAACGCCGGTGACGGAATTCGACGAGAGCACTTTCCTGCGCAAAGACTGGAACAAGGATGGCACAGTCGGACCGGACGGGGAGTTCTTCTTGGGCCAGCAGCAGTTGGGTCTAGACCATGTCGAAAGGTTCCTCGAGACGGTTAGCCCGGTGACGCGGTGGCGTGAGGCGCATCCCGACGACGTCGGAACGGAGCGCGATGTGGTCAAGATGGCCGTTGGGAAGATCGCAAGTTTGCTCCACGAATCGGGAATGCAGCCAGGGAAAGAGATCATCACGACTGGCGTTGCAGGGGCCCTGCTCATGATTAAGAAGAAGGAATAACAGAAATCTGGCGAGACGCGTAGAGGGTCCAGTCCCATCCAATTCCAAGGTTCTGGGCCGTCTGCGGGGGATATACATCATTGGTCGAATCGCGGATGCGGCAGGCTGCTCAGCGTTTACGCAATTTTACCCAAACCCTTGGATCGGTGTGGAGCAAACGGACTTGTTATCTCGAATGGGGTCAATGGTTTGGGTGACATGCCAAGTGTTTGCTTAATTGTTTGTTTGCCGAACGATAGACAGTCGACTCTTTGTTCATTGGCCGGTTTGGGACTTGCGTGAGAGTGGGGAGTTTGGGCTACCCGATTTGGACGTTTTCGTGTTGGTTCCCAACAAGCAGCATTCCTTCGGATGCTTCGCCCACCTGTACCGCTTCTAGAACTATTTAATCCATCGATAATCATCCGGGGGTGGAGTGGGAAAGAGGGGAGTACTTATGCCACCCCCGCCTAGGCAGGCACGCCTTTGAGAGAAGAAAAAAACAAAATGTTCTCCAACTTCTTACCTGCACAATCGCGCACTTCTCGGTCTTCAACTCCACTCACAATCATGACCCAAAAGCCGAGTGTGGGCGCCGCCGCCACATCTGCCGCCCGGAGAAGCGTTTTGGCTATGGAGACTGGCCGGATTGATTGGAAGGAGGCTTTTCTGTTCTTCTACTGGGATGCCAAGAAACTCCGCACTCGCCCCAAGGAGGGCCACATAATCGACAGGTTGATTGTTGAGTTCTTTCAACAGACGAGGCCATCCATGTCGGACGAGGGTCCTGTTCTCAATTGGGATATGACCCTATTCAGACTTATGAATGCGTTACGAAGACAGCTCGGTGGGTAGTAGACATTGTCATTTCAACATGTGTCCAAGCTGACATGAACAGGTTTTGACACAACATCCGAGGTCACTCCTTCAACATACCTTTTTCTGGGCCAAATCGATCCTCGAACCGCTTGGAACCAACCACCATTTGTAGACTGGGTACGTCTCGAAACTGAAACTCAGATTCTCTTCACCTACGCCAACAACACCATTACCCGCTTCCTCGACCACCTCGTCATTGAAGCGTACGGGCGCCAACACGCGCCATGGACGTTGTACAACCCGTATCTCAAAACGTTCCAAGAGGCCCACGATATCGAAAGCTGGAGTGTACCATTACCATTCGGCTACGCAGCTGAGATGCTATCGCATCTCTCGTGGCCAGAGGGGTCCCAGATCGCGGACAGCGGCGGGCTCGTACATCCCCAGAGCGACGAGATCCGCTTCGGCATCTCCGTCGGACCTACCCACCGCTCAGCAATTCTTGCATTTCCCACCGAAGAGCTGACAAATACTCGGATAATGAATTTGACAAAGCGCTACTATACGGCTATGCTCGTCTGGGTGAGTGAGATAATGACGGGAGGGGCCATTGAGTCCCTCCCCGGTCTGCTGAGCGACCAATTTAAGGGCTGGGTGAAGGCGAACGACGACGAAGACAACGACGAGTCTCTAGCTGTGTCCAAGAGCCTTTGGGAAGCATACAGGAAGATTGGATTGCAACCTTTGCATGGCGACGTCATCAGTGCCTCCAGCGGGTCATCAGGCCTTCCGTGGACTGATATGTCCTCTGAAAGTTTTGTGGACGCCAAGAAGCCGGCTAGGAGTAGTTATTTCCAAGCTACTTAGCTGGGATGATTGGTGATGTAAATTTTCAGATATGACATGTATTTGTGACTAGATATGGAGGGTTGAAGGAAGCTCCCAGAGGAAATACAAAGAGTTTGATGTGTTAACTATGGCCATGGATGTGGATCATGAGAAGTACTAGTCAAGTGCGCATGTAGTAAAAGAGGTTCAGTGCTAGAAGAAGCTGGTATGCCATCGATGGCCATCACGTACTGCACTGAGAAGCTCCTCCTTCAGACCCTCAGTCTCGTACGGCAGGCTTCAAGTAAACATTCAGCGGCCCCTTTTCCCACAAGGTATAGATCTTTTGGGTCTCCATCCAAGCCTTGCTATCCTCCGCCAGGACGATGTCAAAGTTCCAAAGAAGTCTCGCTAGCATGATCCGCATCTCCACGTACGCGAGGCTGTCACGCCAAGTTAGCAGGTGTCTGGGCTGAGGGAAGTCAGGAGGAACTCACTTCCGTCCCAAGCAATTCCGAGGTCCAATGTGGAACGGCTGGAACGCCTCCCTGCGATCTGAGACATACTCCGGGTCTCCCAAGAAACGCTCGGGGTGGAAGAGGAAGGGGTTCTTGAAGTTGGTCTCGTTATGGTACATGGCCCACTGGTGGACGGCAACGGTTGTCTATGTGAGTAAGGGTTCTCACATTAGCTAGGGCATTCCGACGAAAGGATTGGGAAACCATCCCCGGTAGCGTACTCGAGGCCGAGACCAGAAGCAATCCGAAGCAATTGACTCACCTTGTCCGGAAGAAAATCTCCGCAAATCGTAGCCCCGCCCGCTGGCACCGTCCTGGGAAGACCAGTCGGCACGGGCGGATATACCCGCAGCGCCTCATCCAGGCATGCAAGCATGTAGGTCAGTTTATTCACAGATGTGAGGGTGACGTCTGATTCCTTATCAAACGTCGTTCTGACTTCGTTCACCAACTTCTTCATCTTTTCGGGGTTCTTCAAGAGGAGATACGTTACGCCCGAGAGCAGCGTTGCTGTCGTTTCCGAGCCAGCAATGATGATGATGCTCGCGTTGCCCTCGAGCTGTTGCAGCGAAAGGTTCTGCTCCCAGGTCAGCATTCTTCAGTACCATATACCCCTCCCACATATTAAACGAAATAGAAAAGATAATGGGAAGGGGTCAAACTCACCCACTCCTCCTTCTTCTTCAACAGCCCATCCAGCAAATCAGCCCTCGACCCCTCCCTCTCCGCCAACGCGATCCTCCTCTTCAACTTATCCATAGTCATAGCCTGGTGCTCAAATCTCCTCTCCCTCATCGCCTTCGTCGACATCACCGCCGTGATGAACCGCCTCAGCACCGAAAAATGGTTCGCCGTCTGCAGCGCGACGCCCAGTCGGATCATGTCGAAAATCGTCCGTACCCAGGGGTGCAGGTCTCCTTCCTCCAAGCACCCAAACGGCTCACCAAAGGCTAGATCTCCGATGATGTCAAAGGTGCAGTAGTTGTACCACAGCGTCAGGTTCACCGGCTCGAGCTCGGTCTCCTTCTCCCTGAGATCCGTCGCCGACCCACCATCACCTTCGTCTCGGTACGCTTTCTGGACCGGAGCCTCTGCTAGCTCCCGCAGCTTGGCGATGAACACGTCAACATACTTCATGATCACAGGCTGCTGCTCCCTCAAACTCCGATCGCTGAACCCATGGCTCAAAGTCCTCCTCAGCCTAGCGTGCTCCGGCCCCGGCGCAGTGATGATATCCCTCGGCAGGTCCGCAATCGGCCTGTAAAACGTCTCCGACTTTTCAAACTCGAGCGGCGCCTGGCCACCAGTCGCAACACTCCCTGCGCGGTGGCCCATGATTTCCTTCCATGCCACGGGGTCCGCGTACGCCAGCTCGTCCGGGGCGATACGCACCACGTCGCCGTACTTTCTGTGGAGGTCGAGCATGTCAAAGGAGAGGGTTCCGCGCCAGAGTCGGTAGCAGAATGTCGCTCGTGTTGCGCGCATAAGGATTGGGCCGGGAAAGCGGCGGAGGGGGTGGAAGAATAGGTTGTAGATGATGTACGAGACGATGTAAAGTGTGGTCTGTCAAGCGTTAGGGAAAGGAACATGACAAGCGCTTTTGTTGTCGATCAAATCGCAAGGTCTCTGTATCAGGACATGACTTACAAAGGCGAAGCCAAGGCACGAAGCCTGGATCATGACGTTTAAGATAGCCATGTTGCCAAAACGGAACTTCGAATCAAGTCGGTTCAGGGCGGGGAATAAAGACCGAGAACAAGAGAAAGATGTCGAAATGCTTGCGAGGCGACCTCAGATATTAAAGCTTCTCGGCCAGCATCACTCCACGCAGACTTTCGTTCCAGTCGCGCCACGCGTTCACGTATCCAACCAGCTAATCCTGAATTCGTTCGTCATGCCGAGTACGAACCCCTGGACCGAAGCCATTGTGTAGCGTTTCAATGGCCGAGAATACCTTGGCCATGGCTTTGAATAATATCGTGGTTCTGTTGAGATAATCAGACGAAGAAGGGGCACGAACCTTCTTGCAGTCAACGTCGTGAGGGGTCCGGCAGGCGACCACACCACTGGGACCGCGGGGATCTGCCTGTTCCTGCCGTTATGTTTCAGACGGTTGTTCCGAGTTGACGTTGCTATCGGCGTGTCTCTCCAGTCCGCGATACGAGGGCCGGCGAATCGGTTGCCGTGCCGAACGAATGCGAACACGAAGAGGATCGTGCCGTTGATGATGGCAGTTCAGATGCCAAGTGCCCCTGTGCTTCAAACCTTCCGACGTATGTAGCCAATTGCTCATAGGCTTTGGTGATCTTGGAACGGATGTCTGCCGTTCCTTTGACATCCATCAGGACCATCTACGTTGACTGCTTGAGCCACAGTGTTGTAGATCGAAAGCGAGTTGTCTCGGGGCTTAATTTGAGAGTAATGCTGGTAGGCTACTGCTGATTGTATTTTTGAGCTGAGGTCAGCTGAAATGCAGTCACGGGGATGAGAATGTATCGGCGTATCTTTTTTGTGTAGTTGAAGGGCGGCAAGAGACCCTTGAATACACCTGGATGTGTCACAGTAAGGTACGAGGCAGGTCACGTAACCCGGAAGGCTCTGTTGTGCTCCTCCGCCTGCCGCACACTTGATATGTCCTAAGACGGCAGTCTCCGTTGTCTTTGGGAATGCAATTGGGCCCGCTCAATCAACGAGAAGCTATCGGTCCCGCTCCAAGTCAGGGTAAACTTTCAACCTCTGAAAAGGCCTTGGGTTCGATTCACGCATTTTCCGCCGTCTTCTTTGTCCCCACGTACCATCAATCCTCTTCTACCAATGGTCCTACCTGCTCTCATAACTCTTCTCTACACACCTTTCTGTTTCAATAAGTGTTTGGATCTAGAAGATTTGTGGATGCTTCTTACCCTCCTCTTCCTCACCTGAGCCCGCAATACCTACACCTAGAGTGCCAATTCAACGGGACCAATGCAGCCTGTAACTGAGTAAGGCGATTGGACTTAGACGTCTTTGTAAGCTACGCGTCGCTAGGAACGTTGCCAAGCCTATTTTGAGCACTCTAATTTAATGGCCGCGCTAATATCAAGACCACGATTGTAAATCACGGCGTCTTTTGGAAACTCGCATAAAGGTTCCCGATCACACCCTACGACAATCAGGAGGAGACGAGACGGCTGAGAGACGGTACGAGAGCATGCGAATCATCGAATAGCGCACATATTTGATATTCTCTATCTAAGCCACGCTCAGATGTAGCCACACGCGTATCAGGCTACTCATGGTCAAGGCAGCATTCCCAAACTCCAATACAAGGTGCGATAGACCCCCTCCTCGTTCCCACACGGAGTGCCATCTCTCCATGAGCTTAATTGTGACACAATGAGTGGATCCTGCATCAAAGTGATTGACCGTAAGGCTCGACGATCTGAACATCAATCGACCTCTTCTTGCTTGATATTGATGGTCAGGGCGCGTGTGAAGACCGGTTTTGGTGGTAAGACTGGAAGAGGCCTCTGAACAATGGTGCAGTTTGCCCCTGTCGCAAAGCGACTGCCGTCTCCTTGAACCAAAGCCGTTTCAGTCTGATTTCGCTTGGCCTGCCTCTTCATCTTCTTTGACTGCAAAACTGCCGGGTTCGGGGCATTCGGTAAAAGATTGATACCCAGCCTGTGCATCTTGGCTCTGACCACGTTGTATCCATCACCTATGGACATGCCTTGGGTTCCTGGGAATAGACTGCATGGTCTTCCGGATTCATACTCGGTACTTGGGTCCCGACGTAAGGCGGCATTGGTTGCGCCGCGCTGTGGCAAGTGTGCAGAGTAGTCATAAGTTTGCCAGTCAGGGTACTGTAGGATCAGTCCTTGGCCGATCTTCTGGGCGAAATCCTTCGTATGGGGCAGCTGCATTCGAGGGCAGTTGTTTGCGGCCCAGACGGATATCCAGCAAGTCGTAGATCGAATGGGAGGCTTGTTCTGTCGACGCTGAACGAGATACAAAAATTCCAGGGTTTTCTTGGCCTTCTTCTTGGACTTTCTCAGTTTGTTGCAAGTGGAAAAGTGATGGTCGCGTACGTTGCATATGGGGCAGGCGGAAATGAAGCCGTCGACATCCACCGGTCCAATGCAATCCTTGACCTCATGGCCTACTCTGCAACAATTTGCGCACATTGTGGTGCGTTGGTAGCCTGAGCCAGAGTCGCCATCGCGCTGAATTGCCCAGTCCCTGGATATCTGCTGTGTGTACGAGCTTCCTTTTTGTAGAGTTCCTTGTTCTGCCGTGGCGGTCGTTTGACCTGAGGTAATCCGCGAGAACAAGTCGTCCACGACTCGTTTCAATTGGTTGACCTCCTCTTCGGCACTTCGAAGTCCAAGAGTATCATGGCGATCCACAAAGCCGGTCTTGAGGGTATGATTAGTGTGGGAAGTACTGTTCTGGGCGGGGAGTGGGATTCCATTCCTAGGCAAGCTGGATGACCGGACAGGAGCGAACGTCATCGAAGCCCAGGCAGAGTAAGCCCTTTGAAGGCCACCGCCGTATGAGAGATGGGATTCGAGTAGGTGGCATCCGTAAATGTAGTTGGTTGTGACACTGTGAGGCTGGCTTTGCTGGTTCCCACCAGAAATGGTAAGGTCAGCAACGGTGACCAAATTGCCAGCGATGGTGCCGATCGCGCAAGACGTGGTGAGTTGTCCATTGACAACGCATACGACGTCATCGTAAACCGTGTCAACAGAGCGATCGCCTTCAAGACAACCTTCGAGTTGGAGTCCGAGGCCTTTGACGAGATTGCCAAAGACACGGTTGCTTCCCTAGTGACCGAATAGCGAGGCATCGATGAGATAGACGTTTCCCATGACAAAGTCTACGGTGAGACTCGAGGGTGGTTGTTCGGCGTCCTTCGCATCGTAGTCGTACACAACGAAAATATTCGCTGCAGCGTTGGTGACGTTCAGGTTTCCGTTGTGGGTGAAGACATCGCCGGCAGCCGGAGTCGGGAGATTAACCACTGAATGCATGGCTTGACAGCTATCAGGCCTCGATCTGGCGCGATAGACCCTATTTCTTGTTCCCTTTGGTAAGTAAAGATTGCACATTAAGAGATTGGGTGACATACGTGGGAAAATGCTAGGCGTTGATGCGGAAGACGAGAAGATTGAAGTTGGGATGTCTTGGTGTGAGACGCGAATATTCGGTGCAGCTTCCAACCAGGTCAATTGAAGAGGGTATAGAAGGACAAAGAGTGGACTGACTGGGTTGGTTTGGTGAAGTGTAAAAAAGGCAGGAAGGTAGGAGGAGCCACGATCTGAAAAAGGAAAGTGCTACTTCCTTCCTCATGCTAACATCGTACCTTCCGCCCCTGACCGACAGAGAAGCACCTCAGACATCTGCAAAGATGTTGAGTCCGACGCAGGCGCTGGATCGGTGCTGCCTTTGGGAATACTCCTAAGTAAGGCTGAGAATTCCCCTACGCAAGGCTATTACTCATTCTCAGGTACGTTGCAAAGGCCAAAAGATATATCATTTTGTCGGACAACGGGCAGACACGTGCCAGATCCAGCCGTAGTGTTTTAAGTTGGAGTTGGAACCTAATCGATCTAATCACAATTCTGTTATATCTGCCAGGCTTTCGTCTGTCCTAGGTCGTCTCGCGTTGCCCCCCGCATCGTAATCGTGGACGAGTGCGTTCTTACTGACAGGCAGGGATCGTGATCGGCAGAATGTTACAACCTCAAACTCTCAGAGTCGAAAAGGCAGGAACTGGTAAGACCGATACAGGAAACTGGGCATCCGATTCCTCAAAGTCTTTCAATTCCAGAAACATCCATCGAAATTGGACCATCAATACAGTACTCTTTGGCCCGTCGTCTCGGGCTATGATACACAAATGAACAAAGACGACGGACCTTCTTTTTATATAACCCAAAGAACTCTCCAGCATCCTCCAGTGAGACAGCCAAATCGATGCAAACCCGCTGAATGCTGATGGGGTCCCTCCTTTTCGAATGCCGCCCCATGTTCCGATAATTGTACACGCTCGAGAGGGGGAGTAGACCGCAGCCCTTCTACCCCTTATATGCAAGATAAGCCCAAAACAAGACAACCATCCACACAACCCTCCACATGGAGGCACCAATCTCGCGGGCGACACGCCCGATTGTCGTCCTCGACCGCTGGGACGCCGCCTTCCACGTCAATCGCGGCATCCCAGTTCCGTACTCGTCTGCGAAAATTTCGATGCGTGGCGCACGGTGTGGTGCTCCCCATTGCTTCTTCAACTTGGTTCTCGGCGGCGGCATGGGGGCAGCGCCGTTGGAACGGATGGATCCGCTCCTAGTCCGGGACGACTGACCCGTGAGGAATCGAGATCCGGAGTTCACCGATGTCGAGTGCATGCTGTAAGTGCCGTCATCCTCGACCTTGTCCTTGATGGTCGGCAGTATAGCGCCCTGCGGCTGTTCGTCATGCAGAGCAAAGGGTGTCAGGTTCAGAACCGGTACCAGGAATGATCTTATGCAAATCGCAACGAGGGTGACAAACGCAAGCCCGGCATATTTCGCGTAAGTCGCAAGCTGGTTCGGAAGCAGGCACAAGTGCGTCTGCAACGTCTTTTCTGGGGCACCAGGCAGGGGCTTGCCGTTGGCGTCGACCGGGTTGTACAGACTGACCATGAGAAAGCCAGGTGTAGGTACTCCCATGGCCATACTCATGCTTTTGACGGTGATTTCGCGAACGTTGTCCTTCTCTGCGGAGTGAATGACTTCGCAATAATCGTGGTCATCACCAGAGAACACTCCAACGATGTTGCCAATGCTCTTCACGAGCCTGACAGACTCGTCCTCGTTAAGCACGTTCTGATACTGATAGCCACCCGAGACAGATATGGCATTTCGATGATCCATCATAGGCGCCTTCTCCCCCTTTGGTGGTTTCGTAGGAGGCCAATGCTCTCGCTGGGGTCCGCAAGGCGTGCCTGGGTCTCGATATAAGGGCACG